TTTGGCTAAATGCTTAGCAACAGGTGGTCACAACGTCCCTCTCAAGACTCCGTCGGGAAGTACCAGCGCGCATCACTCCACTTTGAGCGGTTCCTGGAATTTCACCATTCTGCGAACCCGCATGGTTAATGAACAGACTCCACCTGCGTGTCCAGAGTCAGCGGGGAGCGCTCTGCTACATACGCGATCAGAAGCCTATCCGAGGTGCTTGCTTTCCGCCCAGCCGGCGCGTGGCTCGTCTTGCAGACTATCATGGACGAGGTCTTTCGGAATACATGTACTCTGGAAATTACTGAACAACTCCGACTCAGTACTCCTTGCGCTCGACTAGAGGGAGAGACCCTCCCACCAGCGATCGTCATCTGCCACAACTTCCCTGACGCTGGCGGAACGCTCTGAAGGATTGGGCTCCAACTGACGGCGGACACTTGCTGCTCGTCGTCAGATACAGCGCACATCCACTCTACTACGCGACGGGCAAGGAAGACGACAGAGATACCCCAATGGTGGCCCCATTTCGCAATGAACATGGGAATCTCCATCGCCTCAGAATTAAGGTAGGAGACTAGGATCGGTTTGACATACTCGCTGATCGCCATCGTCCGTTTGCTTTGTCGTTTTACCCATACAACCCTCCGAGGGGTCATCCCGACCCTGTCTATCGGCTTCACAGCTCCCATGGGGGGAAGTGCTGAGCCTCTCTCGCTCAGCCATTCTGTGCGTCCTCCGCCACCAATGCGATACTATTTCCGCCATTGACTCAGGCCACTCTCTGGTGTAAGCATGTCGGTGCAGCCTTTACGGACGATATAATGGATGAGCTCCAAGCTTTCGTACCCTGTAGGGGGTGCTCCAGCGCCCGAACGGAATTCGAAGCTGACAGCCGCCGCCCGAGACACCACGTACGAATCCTCCTCTGCCTTCTTTCCCCTCTCCACCCCTCCTCCAAGCTCCCGCCGTCCTCCTTCATCGGAGTGGCGGAATTCAGGAGATGAGGACGGGGGTTCATGGAGGGACCTTCATTACGGGAAAATCACTCTGGGTGACTGGCCACAGAATACCGCCGAAACTGAGACTTGCTAGAGCCTAGCGGTTTCTCAAGCCAGTCGCCTCACCTTCTCAACCCATCGGCTTCCTTCCAATGACCATCTGCCAGAGACAACTTCGGGCCTGCACATCAACAGGGAGCATATGCACCATCCAATAGCCGCCATGGGCCAGACAATTCGAGAGGCAAACAGTGAACAGAGGCTCGTTAAGCTCAAATGTCTCGCACAAAGGACCGCGGGGTGACATGAATATCATACTTCAAGGAGTACACCAGAAAACTCGGCAAGATGCACCATACAGACCTGGAGCCCAGGGGAGACTATTAGACTTGGGGTCGTGATCTTCAGGCACAGACGGACTGGTGGGACACTTGCGCATCAGTGGCCAAGCCACTTCGATCGAGCAATTGCCGCGGGGGCCACCACACCTCAAACGAAGCCTGCCGTTGGCTCGAGACTCTCGCTTTTGTCCCACAATGTGACGACGACAGAGACAACTGAATCCCCAGAGATCGAGAGTCAGTCTAGACTTGACGCTGAAAAGTCCTGACGTCCATTCGCACGGTAATTGCAAGAAGCTTCATTGTACCTCACAATGTGCTTCTGCCAGCCAATGAGCAGCGGCCGGGTACGCAGGCGCCGACTGCCACTGTTCAAAAGGTTAAGACAGAGATACCACGATAGCGACCAAGATGAAACCGATTCCCCAGCTTGACGTGCTTATGTCCGCGCCCAATCGGGGGTACCAAGTTCGAACTGTGTGGGTGGGCTTGTCCCATGCAAGGAACACATCGACATGCTATCCGTACTTGCGAGGAGATCCCCGTTAAATCGATCAGTACGCTCTGCAGCGCCTGGTAAGTGTAGCTTTTCTTCACGTCTCTGGTTACGACCCTCGGCGTCGATGCCTGCGAACAGTTCTGTTTGTTGGCAATGGCTCGCTAGTGCCCGGCGAGCTCGCGGGGATGCTTCGCGACGAAGCGGTCAGAGGCGCCAAGAAGATGATGGAGAAGCAAATCAACAGAAGTTCGTCTCTTGAAGGCGGGCAGGCGAAGTTTACATACGGTACATCAAACAAGAACGGGTGTGAGAGCTGCAACATGCGGTGGAAGGGAGAGAGACACACCGTTACTAGCATGACAACAGGACTAGTAGCACTGCTCAATACGCTGGTCTGGGCAGACAAAAGTCACTTGGCCCCCGGACATTAGTGCAGCGGATGGCCAAGCTGGCACCAAGAGCGGAGAGACGCAGGTTCCCACCAGGTCCAGCATCATCCCCTGTCGGTGCTGACGACGCCTCGTTGATTACAGGCTCGGCAAGGTGGATCGTGGGACGGCACAGAGATTCGGATTCGAGAAGGCGAGGGAGAACTTGAGGGCCGATGGAGCCTTGTGTCTCGACTTGGGTCGATTGGATTTATGGCGTGGCATTCTGGAGTCGCACTGGAGAGCCCGGAGAGGAGGCGTTCCTTTCCTTTCGCGGATTTACCCTCAATCAGGCCTGGTATGGCGGCTCACTGTCGTCGTCGACTCGTCGGGCCTATGCTCGTTGTCGGTCAATCGGTTCAGTCTCTCGCCGATTTTGGGCCTGCGCCCCCCAACGACTTTTTTCTGATATTTTCCATCCCCGTTCGACTGGAGCGCCAGTTGTCCTCCTGGTCAGGCGCTTTTGCTAGTCGAAATACTCAAGCCGTTCCTGTCACATTACCCGCGGGTTGTGAAATCCTTTTCGAGTCTGGACTGCATCTGCATGCTCCAAGACCGTAACAATTTAACAAATGCTCTTGGTGTGTCGGCGAACGGATACAGCGGCACTCTGCCCAGAGTTTTCCCCTTTCCTGTCGCGGGATCGCCTTTTCGCAGGCGAATTAGAGTCATTGCAGTCTTGAAGAAGCTGCAAGTCGCTGGAGACATCAAGGTCTTGGTTGTCTTGGTGTAATGGTGCGGCCTTTGATCCTTCGGATGAGGCGGAATTCAGGGGCCTTCTCCCGCCACTGTTATTCTGTTGTTCGCTGGGTCGAAGTCCGGGGTTGGAAAGCCGTCGATTCGTCGAACCTTTGCATCGATACCAAGGACCCAAGCTATTGGCGTATTTCGTGTTGGTGCCGAGTGGTGCTGCGGTGTTGGTAGTGGTGGTGGGCGTCGCATTATGGCATCGTAATCCGACAAAAGGTCACCACACAAAACATCGGATTTTTACGAGCTTCGACATGGTCATTCAGTCAGATCTCTGCGGTGCGAAGAAAGGATGACCGAAGTAAGGAAGCAGACGGGGGGCGACGCAGCGATTATGTACTGCACAGGCGGGCAAATACGAGATTCTGGGGGATACGATCTATCCCTTTAGTATTCACCCCTGGATGCCCTCGCCCATCACCATGCTGTTTTGGGCATGTTACGGGTTACGAGGCATTGCTGCTCTGAGGCTTAACACGGTGGCCGAGAAGCCCGGTAGGCGTCAGTTGGAGAAGCACTGCAACATGACTCGGGCGAAGCGTTCTCACTGCTCGGGCGGCTTACTAACGCACGTTCTAGGCTCTGTAGGGCCTTGCAGGGCGCGCAAGGCGATGAGGAAGGCGAGTTTGGGGGCTGCTTTTGCATTGCGATTCATGGTTAAGTTTAACTCATTGCGGCTCTGGGGAAATTGGGGTAATGGCCGGAGGCAATGTGATTATGTGAGTGAGTGGGAGCAGGGCATTAAATGGTGGTGAAAATTGCCGCATGACAGCTTCGGGTTCAACTTGTGCCATTAAGATTTTGAGGGCAAGGCTGGAGCGACTCCCATTCATCTCGCACTGCCCAAGAAAACCCGACCAATGAAAGCTGTACGGTAGAGGTTGGTTCAGGGAAGTTCGGCTGACATGAACGTTGTAAGTAGCAGCAATGTTCTCATCCACCTCCTGTTCAATCTTCGTGCTGACTGGATTGGGTTTAGACAGGTTTGCAATTTGATCTCGTATCGCTTACCCGGGCGGCGCACATTGGCTTCACTGATGTACATGGGAAGCTCTACGATATAGGGCACATACACCACAACCACTTCACGCTAATCAACGAAACTCGTCGAGTCGCATATTGGGCCGCTTTGCAACTTTGCTTCCAATGCGGGTAGTCAGACTCGCTACCATTCATGTTGACGGCTGAAGAGCCGGCTGGCATCACAACGACTCTCACGGAATTGAGTGTCACATTTCATCGTCGACCATGTCGCGAGGTGGGACTATGCCTGCCTGTCGGGGGTTTTGCCAGTGCCTCTCTGTTGACTATGTACCGAGTATGCTCAATTATATGAGAGATGCAGGCGATCTTCAATTGCCAGTGAGATGTTATGAATTCATTTGTTCAGCAATTTCACTTTCTACTGTTCATTTGGGCGACGATTGCTGGATGTAATCCGTTCGTGTGAGAGATACTGCGTCTATCCACCCAGTGAGACGGATGCTTGCTTACTGGCTCACTCACTCGACGTCTCAATCTCACTCACACGGACCATTCACTCACTCACTCACTCACTCATCCACTTCACAACTCATACTCACATGCTTCGAGACACATTTCATAGCTTACGATCTGAAGCACCACTTCATATCAACATTTGGATCTTATCTCTTCGGCGCAGCCACAAACGCTGTCCTGACCAGGTTATGGACGGCCGGCCAACGCTTTTTTCCCAATCGGGAAGAGACGGTGCATATGCTTGTTTTTTAGCTCGCCCACATGCGCCGGGCCCAGTGGACAGCCCAGCTGAGGCTAGAGCTACCTCTACCTCGAAGCTAACGAGAGGAAAATCAAGGTGAATGAGTGAGCGTGGTGAGGTACTCCGTACCTTCAGGTGAGGTGATGTAATGGGGGAGGACACCAGATAGCTGTCAATCAAAGCTAGCAAATTCGATGCTGCCGCCAATGTTAATGCCAATGACAATGCGAATTACCAACACCAAACGGGAGAGCACGACCGAATCATCGACCCCGGACTCACACTCACCTTCTTGTACCTATCTACCTATGGCATGAGGTCCTGCCGCTGTCATTCGACGCGAGATAAGCGGGCAGGGTCGAAGGTCTGGTTCCTGTCTTTTTCAGCCCCTCCTGCCAATATTTTCTCAGCTCTTGGATGGGCAGGCGAACTGGGCCCAGAACGTGAGGAATGTCACCAAAGACCTGTATCCGTAGGCTAGCCTCCTTCTCTCCCAGTGTGTCTCTCTTTTTTTCCTCCTTCCTCCTTCCTCATCGTCATCTTTTTTTCTCTTCCTTCCATTTACTCCACCCACAGACCCCAACCTGCGCCTGCCTCCCCGGTCCCGTCCATTGAGCGAGTGACACTGTGACTGTGACAGTAGCTCATCCCGTCGGACCCCGTCAGCCATCTTCATCGCCTGCTACCGTCGCCCTCCGGTCTGCACTCGGACTTTTTGTTCTCCTTTCGTCATTGCATCTTCCCGTCAAACTCTCTCGCGATCAAGAAAGTGCTTCTTTTGATCGTCACGGTCTTTAATCTGCACATTTGCGCCCACTAATACGAGAATCACACTTCACCTTAAACCCCCCTCTAACCCTTCCTTTCGTCTCACCACATCTACGGCGCAAACAAAATGAGAAACGCTGTTCTGCTCGCCGCCGGCCTGACGGCTATTCGTCACGCGTCTGCCGCGTACGATACGACAATCTGCGGCAAGACAAACAAGTTTACGAGCTCAGATACCCAATTCATCTGTACGTGGATCCCCCAGTGCACTTCTAGGTCTGATTCCGTATCGTTCGACGACATCTACTTCCATGTAAACGACGTCAACCTAGATTAAGCACAACATACTCGCTTTGCCTTTCATCGTGGATCAGGCTAATACGAGAAATCTGCAGTCCAGTCAAATGCTTGGAACCCTGTTGGAAATGGCTCCTCATGCGTATCGGTAAGTAATGTGACGTGATCAACTGTCGTATCTGAGCTTGAGAGTCTATCTACACCTCGATGCTCCTATCATGCCCCCCTCCTACCCATACCATACCACCCCGCTCCCGTCATCCTGCCTCGACCCTGCATACCATCACGAGCTCCGTCGTGACTTTCTTCCACCTGCCATTCTCATCAGCCTTCTACTCCCATGCCCGGACATATTGTGCCTTATGGCCTGACCACATCCACTAACACGATGCTCTTCGCGATGCGCAGGTTGACCAGTCCGTTCCGGCCTTTGACGCCAACTGGAATTGGGAAGATGACAAGAACAACGTTCACTCGTTCCCCCATGTCCGCTTCAACTCCACAAAGCTGCCAACTAAGCTGAGCGCCATCAAGACGATGCGCCTGGCGACGCAATGGACCATGCGCAAAGGCAACCCCGAGAACGACCCTCCTCGCGACTTTGCCGCCACCACCTGGGCGGAGAACAAGGCCGAGCTCAGCGGCGTCGTCGCCAATGCCGCCTGGGATTTCTTTGTCGACAAGAACAAGACGAAGACGTACAACCCCATTGACTCGGAGGCGGAAATCATGATCTGGCTGGGCAAGGTCGGAAACCCGTACCCGCTGATGGGCGATTCCATCCTCACCAACATCACACTCGGCTCGACAGAGTTGTAAGCATTTCTCCCAGATTTCTCGTATTAGATACCTTATCACGGTGATGCTGACATGCTTCCTCTGCAGCTCCCTCTGGTTCGATACCAACCAGCGCAACCAAAAGGTTTTTACCTGGGTCACGCGCGACGGTTCCGACGTCACCCAGTTCGACGAGGATATCACGCCGCTACTCAAGTTCGTCCTGGACTCTGGAGAGATTGACAGCGACTCGTGGCTCGGCCTCGTCGAGTTCGGCTCCGAGGCATGGCACTCACCGGAGAACATCACCTTCAGCGCGGCTCACTTTAGCATGGACCTTGACAACGGCGACAGCGGTTCCAGCAGTGGCAGTGGTAGCGACGATAAGAACGCAGCTGGAAGAGGCGCGCTCTCGGTGCTGAGTCTGGCTTCGGCTTTGCTGCTTTCGCTTTCAGCTTTGACTATGTAGATCTACATACTTTTTTGTTTTTGCTACCACCAACATGTCTCCGTAGAGGCGGAACGAGATCACGGTTTGGAGCACAGCATTTGATTGTTTTGTTGATGATATCCGGGGGTTTAAACAGTAACGGGCTTCAAAATAGCAATGAGTTCGAGGTTGTTTGAACCTGGACAGACATTGTACTTAATCGATACATAATGGCATAGAGAGAGCTGAAGAACCTTTTACACGTTCCAAATACACAGTTCGTGAGCTCAAAATGTTGCCACGGTGTCTTCAATCTCGTCTGCGATATTATCAAAATGTTGGTCTCATTCGCAAGAAAGTTTCACACCAGCTACATGTGATCAAGAGCAAGGCTAGCCTTGAAACTCTGAAAGATCCCGGAGCTCGCGCCGATACCTCGACTGGAGGGGTCACCGGAAGGAGCGTACCTTGCCTGGGTAGTGACACCCTCTCCTGCGAGATCGTTGGTCACACACACATGCACGCACACACAGGCACCCTTCCAGTAATCAGGACATTCAGAGGAGATGGCGGCCTCCCAGAAAGCCAAGCCGGAAAGACAGCACCATCTAAACATAGCACTACCAGTCATCATCTGAATGGCGTTGCCTCCCCCGCCTCCAGCGTCCGTATCCTAAGCCCCAGCCTCTGCTGAACATCCTCTTTCAAAATTGGACAGAGACAGTGTCAGCCACTGACGGCTGGACTACGGTAAAAGGCCTACTTCTTGCCGCTTGGTAGCAAGAGTGTGTGTATGGCGGTCCGATGCGGGCATTAGGCGTGAGCCGTAGGGACATTAGCATGCAGTAAGCCAGCGATTGGTACTCCTAGGTTCGCGTTGTTTACTGCCAGCCTCCAGCCTGCAGACGTAGGGCCGTTTTCGAGGAACCATGCTGAGAACGCGTATGGCAATCTCGTTTTCCATGAGTTGGTGGTGGGCAGCATGCATCTCGGCGCTCGCAAAGGATCAGTTGCCGGGATGTTTTTTTGATGGAGACAACGTGGCATGGATGATGGATGGAGGGTGGGATGGTGTGCACGGTCTTGGCGGAGATGGTAGGGAAAGGGGCGGGTTGGGCGGAGCGGGATTGGAGAAGAAGGAGACTGGACTGGTTGGTTTGCGAATGGCGGCTTCCCTCACAGGCCAAGAGACCAATACCATACTGGCGACGGGGATTCAGGTTGGCTCTACCCAAGGTACTCCGTATGCAAGCCGACGGGAAGAGGAAAGGAAATTGTACCAAGATGCTGCGTCATCGAGATCCACGCCTCGGAGAGTGGCCTCAATCCGGGACAGCAAGATCCGTAGGACAGTCGCGGAACAATAGTTTGATATCCACACATGGCGAGAAGCGGCGGAAGAAATGGTGTTGTCGTTTCAATGTTAACGGTGTGAGGAAAAACCAAGGAAAAAAGACCAGGAGCTTATCTGGCGCGCCATTCTTTCGTATTGGCGGCTTGGCGCGCGTGCCGCCATGCCGAAGTAGCCAAGACAACGGGCGGCTTAAACGGCGACGACAATGTATGGATATGGGAGGCGGAGAGGAGTAAAGGATCGCGGAGTATTCGTTTGATTCCTTTCTTTTTGCCGATGATGTGCTGCAGGATAGCAACCGAGATGAGGATGTCAGTTCGGGTTTTGCGTACTAGTACTGTTCACCCCTTTATCACTGATGTTTCGCCAGCATTTTGAGGGTACTTTGGGACCATGGTAGTTGTCACTTCCGCTGTGAGCGCGCGATTATTCGCTACGCCGCATAAAAATGCCTTGTACTGTGCTTCAGCGCAGAGGAGGGTGTAGCTCAGAACTTGAGATCAACCAGCTCAATGAAAGCGAAAAATGACCTATGGATGATGTTGCGATAGCGGAAGCTCAAGCGGGCGACAATGGACACGAGACCGGGGTAAACCAGGTCGCCCCAGCCGTTCAGCTGGCTTTGGCTTGTCATGTCTCGGTATTGGAGAACCGGATCGACGTGGCGGGTGTGAATCGTCAACAATATGTTCTGTGACTTTGCTAGGTGAGTCGAGACTTTCGTTGCCCGCGTGGCATGGTGGATCCGATGGAATTTGTTGTAGCTGGGGTGCGGAGGAGTCTTGGGGGCCATTGTTTCAATGGAATGGCGGGATGCGAGGGCTCGAGAGCGAGAACGACAGGCAGAATTATTGAAGAATGCCCCGGTCAGATCAGGAACTGGAGCGTCAATGTGGGTAGAGAAAGTCCGGTTGGCGCTGGTCCATTTTCTATAGACGGCGCTTGATCATCGCCTCTCCGACAAGATCCCGATCGCCAGTGTTCGTCTGAGCCATTGCCAATAGTCAAAGGCTTTACTCGAGACTCTGTGACCGCAAAGAAACCTGGCGAAGCGTCATCGTTGCTCAGGCCAAGCGCGATGTAAGACAAGGATTCGTCAGCGGTGCTCGGCAGAGGGGACGGGTGCTGCACATTCAAAAGGCAAGCGGCGGCGACGGAGACTGCTGAGCCAAGGAGCAGAAGAAAGAAACACTGCAGAAAGACAACGGTGAGCTATCCGTCAAACACGCGAGAGAGCACGCGCCAGCGAATGGGGATGTCGAAATAGCCTCTGAGGTGGGTGCTGCCAAGGTTTACGCTTATTAGCTTATTGGCGTGGGCAACGAACGCGTGTGTAGTCAGGTATCAGTGTGCAAGCGAAGGAAGAAACGGTCTCGAACTGGTGGCCCAATTGCGTGGTATTGAGCCTCCAAGGCGTTGGGGCTGGAAAAGGTATTGGTGGGCCAGTCAGACAGGATGCGCATGATGGGTAGAAGTCGTTGGCGTTGTTTGCATGTGCTGCAGTGGCAATACGAGTAGCGTGTTGATTTTTGACCATCAGAGATCTGAGAGAGGTAGGTATGCGTTGTTGGTTGGCATTAGTCGTCCGTCATCAGGGCGACGTTGGAGAAGCCCACAAGCCACAGCTGGGGTGTTGAAAAGTTGGAACAAGCCGAGGAAGACAAAGGAGGCTGGTGTCTCTCTTCAGGATTGCAAGTTCCCAGATCCCAGGACAGCTGAAGGAATGGAGCTTCAGACAGTCCGGCGACTGCCGATGGTCGATCTGATAGCAACGGCCGCCGTCTCGGGTCTAGTAGCGTGGTAATGTGGTTAGCAGTGATTCAGTGAATGCCAATCGTGGGCCCATTCCCACCGTGGGCTAGCTCAACGCTTTGTGTTTTTGAGTTCCAAGGTTATCTGCGTAGCGCGGCGGGTCAGAGAAGCTAGCTAGCAGCCTGGCAGACGTTGAATCAGAATTTTCTCGATGATGGCGGCACTGAGCAGATTGCAGGTTTGAAAAGGGCCGGAAAGCTTGCTGCACTTTGCAGCATACAAGTCGATAGTGCGTGGATGTGTGCGGGATGGTTCGCTGCGTGGTATCGGCATCCTGGTTGATGCTGTCAAATGGCGGTCCAGATTGATGCTCTGACCATCAAAGGTCCGTCCAGTTTGACAGGGACAGCTTGCTCGACAGCTGCCAACCCTGCTTCTGCCTCTTTTCCCTGCCGTGGTTGTAGCTCCTTCATCTTCGATCTCCGCTCTGCGGTGTTCCTCATTGATTCTTATCCGACGTACGGAGTATGCGGTACACATAATTTGCGAGCAAGGAGGCACAAGTGAGAGCAGGAGCGACAGTGTGCCCGACACAGCAAGAAGTGGGGGTCTATCTACCCAAGGTACCTATCCAGACACGAACCTCAGAGATATGAACCACGACAGGCAGGCAGGTGCAACAAAACAGGCCACAGCAGGCGGGAAGGAAGATAGAAAAAAGTAGCTGCTCATCCGGAAGGCGCCCGACACGATGAGGCGCTGTGGTGGCTGCAGTTCGTGCCGTTCGTGGCTCCTTCCCACAAGTTTCCAGAGCAAGTCGCATGTCGACTTTCCCTCTGGGGCCTTGGCGCCCGTGATGTGGTTGACGCTAGCAGCGCCTGCAGGTCTAGGTACCCCTGTTCATGATCCGGTACGTACTGTGACAGTCAGCTCATGGTTCCGTTGCACTTGCCGATAAGGTAGGTAACGTCTTGGCGGCTCTTTCCCAGGCCCATGGGCTTTTTCCAATGTCCATCCTCCCGTCCCATCCTCGCCTCGTTCTCTGGTGTTTGCGCTTGCAAGAATCTTCCGAGTAGCTGCCCTGAATTGTCAGTGCAAAGACGCCGCGAATGCAACAGGCAAACCGGGAAATAGGCCCACGTTTGATGATGCAGGTGGCTTTTTCTTTCTTGCCCACCCTGTCTCTCCCGCGACTCCCGCCTGCCACCTGCTTTGCGGTTTGCCATACCATGGATGGCAGGCACGGGACACCTACCTTATTTCCCACAACCCTGCTTTGATCTTTTGTATCCTTCCTCTGGGACTGCCATCGGGACATACCTATTATCTGACGCCTTCTTTGCTCCATGGGTACTCTGTACGGAGCAAGGTATCTCTCAATCTGAAATGGCAGGCGAGTGTTTCCCTCATTGATATTTACAGGCTGCATTGCCCAATCATGTACGGAGTCCACTCCGGCCGGCCCCACTCCACTCCGGCGTGGCATCAGATTCTGTTTCCCATGCTCTTCTCATTCCTCATTCTTTCCTGACTCTTAGATCCAAGTCATGATTTTTCTCCGCTCCGTTTGTCACTTTTTGCCCAGCTTCTCTTCCTGGCTGTTTCCGTCTGGCCCAGCCTCCTCCCTTCTCCCCCCCACACAACTTATTGTACCGGTACTTGACTCCGTAGCCATGTGGAAATCCTGAAGTCAGGTTATTCCCCCCTAAGGCTTTGCGGTTCACCTGCAGTCTGCGGCGACTGTCAACCTCCCATGCAGATTTCGGCCATGGACAGCAACCTACGGTCATTAGCCTTGAGCTAGCCAACTTACCTAGCTACCTTGCGTAGCACGCTGCTACGCTGCCATACCTTAATCTGAGATATCGGGTCCAGCTGCAATGGCACCGGCTAAGGCCAGTAGGTATTCTGACTCTTTCCCAGCGGTGATGTCACAACATCTCTCCCACCGGGCCATTGCCATGATTTGCAAGCGACGGGAGTCAACACGATCCGTAACCAGGCAGCTAAGCGCATGCAGACATGAGAGACATACCCGCAGTGAACCAGCCCTTGCAACCGCCAAACGGTTCAATGGTCGCTGTATCCCTGCCACGATCCTAATCACTTGCCCACACATCAGCCACGGGTGGACTGGCGACTCGCGGGGATATTCAAGGCAGGGGCAGAGAAATGTCCTTGTCGATTTTGCAGAAGATACCTACGATCCGGACATTATTCAACGAATGAACATGGTCATCTTGAAAGCAAGCCCGGAGCAGCCCAGCCCAGCCTAGCGATGAGGTACTTACCTACGGGATACCACCATGCCGTACGTATTCGTGCCTCATTCCGTGGCCGTGATACCGTATTCACATCCTTGCAGGAGGAAGCAAGACGGTGTGTTTACTCCTGCTTGGCCTGAAGTGGCCTGCTACTGAGGCTTGCCTTGTCTTCCTCTGCCTTTTCTCTAGGCCGTTTATTCCTGTTTCTCGTATGCTCGCGTGTCTGTCTGGAGTAAGGTACTCCGTCGTAAGGCCGCCGCGCCTTCCTCTCTCCACGCTGTGGTGAACCTGCCTGTTTGGTTCCGCTACATTCACCACCCCCATCCTATCCCAGCTTCACCTTGGGCTGCCTGTCCTCCCCTCCACCTCACCTTACCTCGCCTCTCCTAAGGAACCCTACACCTTCTCCTCCTCCGTCATTCCGCCGTCTGTGTGGCCTACCTTGAACAAAACCTTTCCTCCCTCCGTCCCGCTCGTTGCACCTAGAAGCTAGACGTTGGCTCCTAGTCCTCCGCTGCCATCACCGCGCTGCCATCACCGCGCTACTCTCGCCGCCTCGCCCGCTCGCTAGTTCAACTCCACGAGGCTGGTCTACTTTCAATTTTCAGTCACTCGCTTTGACGACACTCGTTGCTCTCTTTTACTTCCAGCTTCGAGCTCTTGTTACACCCTGCCCCGCGTTCGCTGCCCCGAGACCCTGCCATCTACTTCGAGGAACCTGATGGGAGTACATCGACAATTGAAGCCATCTTCATTTGCCTCACCACCCCTTCCGCGCACTCGTTATACTGTCAGCCCGAGCCGACTCTCGATCACCTTCACAAAAAGTAATCTTTTGTGAAGGTAGCTTGTGTCGCTTTACGGGAATCTAATACCATAATGTCGCCCCCTTTCACACCACGGGGAGCTTCTCCCGACTCGAGCCTGACGCCCCCGACTAATCCGTTCGGTTCTAACCCGTTCGACACCGACAATGATTCGAGCGCGGCTCCCTCCCTCGCCAGTGACTCGACTTTTACTGTGGTACGTTCCCATGAAGTGCCGCTGGCAATGGCTTCCGGCTTGAAGGAAAAGACATTGACATATTTTAGAACGCTGTTGGGCAAACACATCCGTACGACACCACAGACAGATCAGGCCAGAGATCAAGTTGGGCCGACTCCTCTCACCACCGTCTAAGCAGACCCGATATCGTAGGTTGCTCAACATTCGTTTCTTCAAACCCAACTAACAAGTACCAGGAGCCTTCACCGCTGGGCAGAGAAGTTCCGGTCTATAATGAAAAGGGCCATCACCAATCCTCTTCTGAGACGGATGTTGAAGCTAGCCATGTTCCGCCTGTTATTTCCGACCCCGAGAAGGCAAAGGAGACGCACACGACCGCACTTCCACCCTCATCGGGCGAGTCTTTCCCCAAGAGACTTTACGGCCGTTTCCGCGCAACCTACTGCCCCAAGGAAGAGCCGCCTTTGGTCTTGCCGGTATGCCCGAATGACACCGAGAAGCTCAGCTACGTTCACACCAACCGACTGCTTCTCTACATCTTTGGCGTCTTCTCTTTCCTCTCGCTCGGCGCCGGAATGTGGCTATTCGCGCTCTCTGCCCCGGCATTCTACTGGTATGGCGTCTTCGCGGGAGCGATGTGCATCTACCTGTTGATCTCTTATGCCGTCGGAATCATTGGTCGAGACTGGGATTACAAGGCTCACTTGGATCTGGTTGAACGCTTCCCCATTACCGAAGAGAACGCCCCGACCGTCGATATCTACCTCCCCTGCTGTTCCGAGCCCATCGAAATCCTGGAAAACACATACAAGCACATCGTCAATATTGATTGGCCTGCGTCCAAGCTCCAGGTTCACGTCATGGACGATGGCAACTCGGAACCGGTTCGACTTCTCGCTGAGAAATATGGTTTCAACTACTCCGTCCGCGATGACCGGCCCCGTCTCCGAAAGGCTGGCAACCTGCGATGGACCTTTGCACAGACCAGCGGAGAGTTCTTTGCCATTTTCGATGCCGACTTCTGCCCACGCCCTGACTTTGTTAAGGAATTGATGGTTGAGCACTTGGGTGACGATAAGACGGCCCTTGTTCAGAGCCCTCAGTACTTCCGCGTCACTGATGACCAAACTTGGGTTGAGCAGGGTGCGGGTGCCACTCAGGAATTATTCTACCGTGTCGTGCAGGTCAATCGTAACAGATGGGGAGCCTCAATCTGCGTTGGTAGCAATGCCCTCTACCGTCGTGAGTCTCTTGTCGAGGTCGGCGGAACGGCCGAAATTGGTTTCTCTGAGGATGTTCACACTGGGTAAGTTTGCTCCAACCAACTTGCAAGACCTTTGACTAATATTCCACAGTTTCGGTGCGGTTGACCGCGGCTGGAAGGTCAAGTACATACCTCTATGCCTCGCCACCGGTGTTTGCCCCAACTCTCCTCGCGCCTTCTTCTCCCAGCAGATGCGATGGGCTCGTGGTTCAACGACTCTTCTTACCAACCGCCACTTTTGGGTATCGAACCTCACCCTCATGCAAAAAATCTGTTATCTCTCAGGTTTGTACTTCTCTTTTACGGCGACTTGTCACCCATCTAACCAAACTCAGGCTTCTTGTACTACGCTGCGGTCTCACTCAACATCTTCCTCGCCCCTATTGCCGGTACTCTTCTCCTTGCTATCCGCCCGGAATGGTTCAAGTTCTGGAACCTGGCTTTTGCTATCCCCTCGATTCTATACGGTGTCATCCTCATGCGTTGCTGGGCCAAGGCCAAATATGGCTTCAACGTGCAGCATGCCATGACGGTCCAGAGCTACGCCTACCTCACCGCTATCAAGGACCGTCTCTTCAACATTGAGCTTCTCTGGGCTGCCTCTGGCGACTCAAAGGCTCACAAGAGCAACAAGTATCGCAACATGCGCCTTCTTTGCATTATCTGGACCCTCATTGTCACTGGTGCCATGGTCGGTGTCGTCACATGGCGCCTTGTCACTGGCTTCACCTGGTACCATCCCTTGCCACTCATCATAATCAACGTCTACAACCTGTTCATCAACCACTACTTCATGTTCTGCAACTGGTAGAATCCTACCGGTGTCCAGGCATGCGAGGGTTGCGAAAACGATGAAGTGGTATTTGTTATTAAAAGCTTGCATTATACATGGACAAATGGAGTCAAGACATTTGCTTTTTCGCGATTGAGATGACGGAGGTAGCATTGACGGTTTTACCCGTATGGAAACGGCCTTATACCATGGACATAGACGCAAGCACAAAAGTCTGCCTGCACGCACTGCTTCCACAGCATACATAGTTGGTACTCTTGTATATCACGGTGGATAGAGTAATCGTGGAAGTATAGCAGCGCTGCTGCCCTTCATAATCATAGTAAATATTAATACTTGTACGAAGAATTCGCGATCTCCTCTATCCTTGAAAGCGTTTTGGTGACCTCAAGACTCGCTTAGGAGTCTTGTCTTCTGCCCCCAGCTCGCCTGCTCGTGCTCGGCTGTGCCACAATCTTTGCAAACTTAGAGTTGCAATAATTCCTCTGGGTCAAATTTGACACCTCGCGTATTTGACGGATCCAAGCTATTCATACGCATCCACACATCTTCGGGGTTGTCGTAGTTCTCAATCATGGTCTCGATCTGGTTCCCATCCGGATCCCTGTAGTACAAGCTCGTCGTCACGCCGTGGTCGAGACAGAGATGGGGTTCTATACCGCCCGCTTTGCCGGCGTGGTACACAAGGGCTAGGTCTTTGAGAGAGGCGAATTTCAGGGCGATGTGGTCGAGTCCGGTTGATGGTGACGGGTTGGTGTCACTGGAGGAGGTTGATGGAGGGGGTTGGTGGAGGATTGCGAGGCGGTGGTGTTCTTTGTCCCAGGTCAGGACGGAGATGTAGTTGTTTTGGAGGACTACGTGGGCGTTGAGGAGGGTTTTGTAGAATGTGACTAGGGGGGTTGGGTTTGGGGTTCGGAGGCCTAGGTGGGCTATTTCGATTGGGGATGGGGAGGAAGGTGTTTGGGTCATTGTGTTTGACGTATGTTTGGTGTCTGTCAAATGTGTTTCTCTCCGAGATTTTATTTCGGGGTGTAATTGGTGGCCTACACTTTGGACTCTATGCTGGTGATAACAAGAATAATTTAGAGGTTGCGGTCTTTTATATCTTGTAGCCATCAACGACGAGGTCCGTCCTTGAGATACCTCTTTTGGAAAAGAATACCCCCTCTCTGAAAAGCTGAGGTGTACGGAATGATCTTATGTCATGTTCGATGTTCTTTTTTGGAGAAGCTGAGTCAAAATGTATGCAAAAATGTCCCGTCCCATGTTTTACTTCCGCTGTGACGCTATTCGGATTCTTTCGCCATCTCCGCAAGTGCAAGTCCGCAAACCTTCGTCGAACCCCGCCGAACCTCCGCAATGCTTAATAAAAGTGAGAGACTCGTAATGAACTCAACGCTGTGGTTCGAGGGGTCTTCCCGTAATCCCGTAACTAAGGGCTTGATTCCTACATGCTCCTTTCTTTTGGTTATATCATGGCGCCAAGCATCGTGCGGATATCGTGCAAGGTCGGCTTAGAGACTAAGAAAATACCGGACCGCAACTGTAGTCAACTCCGGATCATCACGGAACGGGCACCCCTTGGCCCCAACTTTTAGATATCTCAAGGAAACTTTACCAGCAAAGCATTAGGAAGGCATGTGCTCATACAATGCCACCGAGTGCGGAACAGCGCCAACACATTGCCATTTAAGGTATTAACAACAAATCATGAACCAATGCGCGGGTTTTTTTCTACTTTCCAATAACCACGTAGTAAATTCAAATATTACACCTAGTCAAAACCATTGAAATCTGAAGAGCAATCGGCATTAGAGAAACGCGGAGACGTACGGACTGCCGCCGTTACGTTCTCGATGGGATATGGTGATCTAATTTGGGGAAAGATGGTATTGCATAGAACGTGAATATATGGAACTCTAGCGGCCCTCTGGATCTGCTATTAACGTGCTTCTCTCTAGATTAACGTAATTCTCTGCGTTGGCAGATAATCTATCAGCCTTCTTACAGTGGACTTGTTTTCTTGGTACCTGTTCCTGAACTCATACCACTGTTTATACGAAGTTGTTACTGCATGACTTAAGGTGGCACGACCAACTCGCCTGTAACAACCGCTGCTGTGTTCTTTTTGGACATGGATAGCATCGATATCGGACGAAAACTCGTAGCCCGCGGCGAGAGGTATGAGGCAGCCAGATAGTCCTGCAGAAGTGATGTCCCGGATAAAAGATCCGCCGTCCGATTTGTACAAAGAAACATACAAGTGATCAAGATTTGTAATGACGGCGTCGTACGGTTCAGGATACAAGTGATCGAATGGCTGAGGACGTGCGGTACTGCCTGATCCAAGGGATGCGACTTCTCGAGCTTGATAAGCGGTGAGCAAAGAGCTTGCGTCCAGAAGAGGAGCCATTAATGTGATTTTTGCCTCCACGCAGTCGGCCATATGGCTTGGACCTCGGTTCGTGACTTTGATGTCCTCGACTCGCGTACAGTCCAGGGGTATGTTGAGTCCCTGGACTCCCGACTCCCATTCGACTTGGTAAGGTGATGAAGCCCATGACCAGGTCGGATAGCGGGCGATCCGTGATTTAGGAGCGCTGTGATAGCCCTCCACGTTCCAGAGAAGATCGAGTAGGAGAGTCTTCTCCCACAAGCCCACCAAGTATCGATCGCCGAGTCGTAAATCTTGCATTTGTTTGGCTAGCCCAGATAGGGCAGCCATCTTGTCATCCCCCCTACTGAGTCGAAGCCGTGAATATTCTTTCACGGTTCGATACCACAGGTACCGTGGGTGTTTCTCAAGGATGCCATATGGAGTATAGGGGTAGCCCGTCTTGGTCCACTCATCGTCGTAGGTGAAAGTTTCATCGTTGTCCATGCTTTCACTTTTCTGATAATCTCGGCAGACCCAGACCACTTCCTCGGCACAGAAGTGCAGTACACGTGGTGAGAGTCGTATTTCCTGATAGGCCCATCCACGACTCAAAAGCGGCCATTCTGGGCTATTCCCTATTTCATGCTCATTTGACATGTATGGGAATTTGGGAAGTTTATGACGAACATATGTATCTTTGTACCCTGGCAAGAGTTTTGACACATATTTGTCGCTTGTATTCCTGAAACAGCCACCAGATGCGTCGCCGGAATTTGTTGCTGCGATTGTGAAATATGCATTTGCATAAATACTAGCCATTTGCGCAGCCTGTTCTGTCCAGTCTGCTTCAGAATCCTGTATGATGCACAGTGCATCGACCCAAAGATATGAGATATCTAGGCGACGACAGACTGTGATGGCATCCTGAAATGTTGCATTAAGTTGATTCCAAGGTATGTCTCTCTGGTGGTCTCCGATGGTCTCTTTGGTGGTTTTGGTAATGTGGGCACTCTCACCCCAACAATAGCTCAGGCATGCATACGGCTGCTGCCCAACATTCTCCCACAGAACGACTTGATCTTTGCTGATCTTGAGGAGTCTCTTGGGTGAAGCCTGTTGCTCGTGCCCTTGCTTGCCATTTTTGGGACAATACTTGTGACTTGAGGTGCATTCATTGAGCCAACCCTTGATAGTCCGGAAGGTTGTCTCTGAGCTTGTACTTCCCGGAAGATGGGCAGCGATCTGCTTCAATTGTAACGGGTTCTCTTCTTGCCCTACGAATCATTAATTAATTAGCTGTGGGGACACAGACGAATATCATGGTCCAATAGACCTTCTCCTGCAAGATCCGATATCTGCTGGAGATTACTGCTGAGAGTGCTTAGTATGGAATATTTTACCATCCGTAGTGAAGACATCAACCCTTGTAACATCTTTGTACAAATTGTACGTCAAGACTTCACAGTAGTCGCCGTGTAGAACCAAGATTCCGTCGACCTCCTGCGTGCCAAACGGAGCCAATCTGATGCATTGATCGATGAAGGCGCACCGAGAGCAGCCGCCTTGTATACCCTCTCGGAGGTCCTCCCACCTCCCTCCACTTAGCCCTCTCCGTTCAACGCAGCACTCACAAGCCATTTGGAATCGCGATCCTGGAGATTTGGATGAGTAGAAGCGACAGGCAATAGTCTCCTACTGGCTCCTCAATGTCGAGTAAAAGGCCCTAAGCTCATTGAGCCTTACAGGAATTCATGAGGTCAATGAATCTTTGAGTGTTGAGAACCTCTCTCAAAGGTGGTGGAGTTGTTGGTGATATAACAATATATGCACGTGTTTTCCATCTTCTCCTCATCACTGAAAATGCAAGAATGTCTCAGGCAGATGTATCTTCTTGGCGCACCAATGAAAGATACACACGTAGCCCATGCAGACAGCAATTCTCAGAACGTGTTGGAACAAGAACAGAGGAAATACCCCGGAAGTTTTCTGGCATTGTGGTATTGCACGTTCGTAGCCCCTCCATACATTGAGTAAGGTCGTAAAACATTTATATCGGTACGGCCCGGTCATGGCTTAGATACAGACTCGAGCGTCATGCAGATAATTCCACCTCTGCCGAAGCTCCGATTTTGAGCTGGTGCTAAGCCTCGCCTGCCGTTCTGCCTTGCCTGCTTACGTCTGGCACAGCCTGCGGCGCAGTCGAAAGAATGCAGAGTTCCAGGCAGCTTAGACAGGACCCTCATTTAGCGACTCGGCAGCTTTGCCCACCTTAATCTTGGCGGCTTTCTCACTTTTCCCAAAAACAATGTTGGTGTAACCGAGAAAAGACGCTACCAAGTGGGTGACAAAGTTGTTTTCCTGCTCTTCATCTTGATAAGTACCCCTTTCACTACTCATATCATAATCACTATCTTTCTATATCAAAGTCCTTCTCAGGTATATACGTAGAGAAATATACTCTATTTAATAGATACTAATACTAGTGATAATAGCGGTAGAACTGCTTGTCGCATATGTTGAGCGGAAATCGACTTTGTCACCCACTTGGCTACCTGCAGGCAAGGCGACAAGATGTCTTAGTAGAAGACGAAAGCGTATGGGTCATGTGATGTGGCGTTAGGCAGGTGCTCAGAGATGTCTCTTTTGACGGAGGGCTCCTGTTAGATACCTTAATACATAAGATCAATCGTTCGGAGAACGCCAGCTTGGTACCACCTTATTACTTTCACAACGAAACTACTCCTGATACAAAACATACCTTGACTTCCCTGTCGCCAATCGATTGCTCGAAACCTTCGCAATGATCAGATTACACTGGTTCGCCGTTCACGGCTTCTTTCTCCTTACCCAGTTGGCTTTCATGATCGCCGGCATCGCGGCTTTTGTGTCAAGGCCATTGAACTTCCATCATCCGATGCCGCCTGAGATTCCCTGGGGATCCTGTGCTTTGGTGCGTCAAGTTTCTCACCCCTCCCCTCGTGAAGCTCACCATTCTGAGTCGCCCTGACTGTGTGCTTACTATTATCCGGATCACTTACAGAGCGGTTTTTCACTCTTCGCGAACACAATCATTTTTTCCGCAGTATATTCATCTCAAAGGCCGAACCCCTTGATGACCGAGGAGAGTCGTCTCAATACCCGCCGCGTCACACTCCTCATCAGCGTCTTATTTGCCGCGGGATTTGCCGCCGCTGACTGGTCCTTTGGCGCATCATTTCGCAAGTATGGAACGACTGGCCCCGAAAAGGCGGCCAGCGGTGTGGCTGCGATGGCTTCGTACGTTAATAGCTACCTGAGATCTAGAGACAAGCTGACCAACTCATGTAGGTTTGTCGCAGTTGCTGTTGTAGTGGTGGATATTTGGAAAATCTGCGCAGATGCCTCAGAGGCCCGTGCTGCTGAGTTGTTTGACCAAGAGCAGCTCGCTGATGTAGAACCGTTTACTAATAGTTGAAGAGTCGTGGGGTGTTGAAACGCTCTAATCAGTGCAGAGTTGTAACACTATCTACAAGATATGATATCGGCTTAATCAGCGATCTGTAGATTACAATATTAGCTTCTTCATCCTCATCTTCAATAAAATCATTTCCCGATCGGATGAAGAAAGCACGCTACATGAACTGCATTTCCTCGTTGACTAACTCACGTGAAAAGTACCTGCTCACACAGGTGAGGTTTTTATGAACACCTCCTCATGCCTGCCCTGGGATGCGAGGGTGATGACTCAAAACGTGACTCTTATCTTGCGCCACAGTGATGGGACGTTTGGAGTTAGATTGCTGTCTATGGTGCAGTGGATACCCCGAATTTCAACAGCCTGATTGTGAATCAAGAACGCGGGGACGTACATAAGCCGAGGAATGGCTGACCTCCAATGTCTTACAGCTGAATCAGGTTTTAATATGCGATTCGTCGAGCCAAGAATGTCAGCCTGACACTGCCGCAAACCGATAAAGCCAACCCATCTGCTCAGAGGGGCACTGCGAGTGATCTGCATGAAATCAAAAGGATCATGATTTGAAAATCGTAAACCGACCTTTCTCAGCCACCTCAGCCTCACCAAGGATGATGTCGTGGTTGTTCCAAGGTCCGAAGACGCACAGCAGCCTTTCTACTATTGAGGACTTTGGCGATCTTGATGGCCAGAGAAAGTGCCGAGGCTGTAAACAAATTCGGGCTCTTTTCGATTTCCACAGGCGCCATAACGTTCTACCACCCAAGGCTGTGACTTTTCACGAAGATTATGCCTCTCTCGACAGCTGTTCCCAGCTCTGCGTCACGTGCCGCATTTTTCGGCAGGCGCTGCTTCTCGAAGGCGTTACTACCGATCATGCTGCTGTGTTGGAACGATCTTCAGGGCCGGTTTGCGCGAAATTGGTCGATGAGGATGGAGGCTTTGCGATAAGGATACACGTCAACACAGAGGGGGAAAGCATGATTCCGGTGGCGATGGTCCGCTGTGCTCCGATTATGGACACGAAGCCTCCCATGAAGCTGTCGAAATATTCAGAGGACGATGCGATCTTTCAGCAGATCAGAGATTGGCTCCGCGGGTGTGAACAGTGTCATATTGACTGTGGCAACCTCGCATACTCGAAGCGCAGGCCTACTCGGCTTCTTCACCTGCTCTCTGACTCACGTGCTCGGTTGGTTGATAGCGAGAGTCTCGTTATGAACGGCAAGGCCCCTCGTTATGCGGCTCTGAGCTATTGCTGGGGGACTGGCACGCTCAGTGAGGATGAGAACAAGCTAGTTGAACAGGGACAGACGCTGAAGGCTAACCTGGAGAGTCGATATCGACCGTTTGAAACTGGAAATCTTCCAAGCACGGTACGCGATGCTATCAAAATTACCCGGCGGTTAGGCGACCCAGAAAACGGACTTGAGCTATGCTTGCTCTGGGTTGACTCATTGTGCATCATCCAGGATGATGTTCAAGATAAGGAGGTGGAGATACACCGTATGCAGGAAGTCTACGGCAACGCAGCTGTCACCATATGCGCAACAATGACGACCAAGGCCACGCAGTCGTTGCTGATGCCTCGTCCTGCGTGGTCAAAGCAAGTCAAACCATGCCGCATCGGCGACTCCTGGCTTACCGTAAGCCCTACGGCGCCTGCTGATCTCCGCGCAGGGGCCGCGCTGTCTCTTCGGGCATGGACACTTCAGGAGGAGCATTTGTCGCCGCGGCTACTTTTCTGGGGCGGTCAGCAATTCAGCTGGGCGTGTGGACGTGGCGAGTTTGTTGAGGAGACTTCTTCTTCTACCTATCCTCATTCTTCTACTACTCACGTACGCAAATTTCTTGCCGAGTGCCGTACATCGGAACCTGAGGAGCTCTGGCTTGCATGGAACTCTATAGTAGAGTCATTTACGGCTCGGAGCCTGAGTAACCCGACAGATAGGTTCAGTGCGCTCGCAGGACTGGCCACGCGATATTTGGCGGCTGTTTCTGGGTACAATGAGTATATGGCAGGTTTATGGCGGGCAACATTTGCGCAAGATCTCTCTTGGCGTGTTTCTAAAGCATCTGGGCCCGACGTAGGATGGCCAGGCACGGCAGGAGCCCCGAGTTGGTCTTGGGCGAGTCTTCCTATCGGCTTAGAGGCGCGCATGTGGCCCGAATTTGACATGCTGACCGAGATGGAGCTGCTCGACGACGGTCCTAGTTTGCATATCGAGCCATCAGAGGCGGTTGCTCGAGGGGCCAATTTGAGTCGTGTACGTGTCCGAGGGCTTCTGAGAAATCTTTGGAGTCCCGGATCACAGCTTCGGGAGTGGGACGACATTTGTGTTTGCGTGGACGGCATCAACAAGTTCAGCTTTGCTTCCGACCCGGGCCAGGATATCCACGCGGTCGATCGCCTCACGGGTAACTTAGTTGCATACGAGGCACGGAAGCAACAGATCGTCGCCGAGTTGGACTACTGCAGGCTGGCGGAGGACATTAATGAGGGACTGTTATTGGAGGTTCACTGTCTTGCCATCTCTGAGCATGCTATGCTTCTGCTGCGCCATCAGAATGCCACGGGTGCTTTCCAGCGAATAGGCATTGGCTTTGGATATCGACGGGATTTATTCAGAGGGCTGGCGAAGTTAGAAATTCTTCTAGAATAGACAAGCATAGAAGCAAGTCAGCGACGGCGGAATCGAAGGTATCGATACGCCTTACAACGGCCGAGACACCGTGATCCCGCCTTTGTGTGTCGGCATCTCTATCTGCAGGGGCAGAAGTGGCTACCAAGTCATCCTACATACATACTGACGATGGCTACAGCTACTGGGGCGACCCGGAAGGGCACCACGATGAACCCGCGCCCGAGCTTAAAAGCAATCTGGCATGGTTCGCGGGTGGCGAGGCCAACGTCTGGTGTGACGGGTTCAACGTGTATGGGACGACCGACCTTTTCACTATCTACAAGGAGAAATTCCGGGCCATGAACTCGCTCGGGCTTGGTCGATGGGATACTATGTCCATCACGAGACAGAACATGAAAATGAGAATATGAATCCGAGCCCGCCTCTGATGCTGATCCCGAGGATGATTTCAGCCATAACAAGCTGGCTAGGAAGATGAAGAACGTGGGCTGACGTGGTGACGGAGAGGGGCGTGACTGGAACCGTCCTAAATTTGAGAGACTGTTAGAACAGGGCAGTGAGGAGGAAGATTACCACGAACTAGGAAGGTTTTCTGCTGACAGAAAACAAGATCAATCAAACGAATCAATTAAGAAATTCATATGTCTTGGTCCGTAGCAAATGCCATTGTAGACATGTAATTACGAGCCCCTCTGCGGTCCTCAATGGCGTACATGGCTTTGTATCGCACCATCCATGTTCAAACTCGACCCGTCTTGAAGTTTAGTCACCCATGGAAAATGCGATCTAGATGCGATGATACGATGAACTGCGGTCACGCTCCATGTGTGATGTCAAAAACATTCCTGGATATGAAATTCAGACTCCTGAGTGCAATGGAGGCTGGCAACAGGTTGCCCTTGATATCGAGACAACCGTCTGAGATTGAGCTACGCGTGTGATCTGCTAAGCTACTCGCGAGATTCAGTATTCATCAAGGACTACAAGGTAAGGATAGACTTGAATGACAAAAGCTATCATCCTCATCTAATGACTGTTGTCTGCAGCTTTACTGGAACTGCCACCAGTCAAAATTGAACAGATAACCTTGTCCGTTGCCAACAAAGTTGAGATACAGGTCATGAGTACCAACGGCCTCAACCACTGGGCAGGAAACAGTGGTCCAAACATCCCAACCTCCAGAAGCTGGCACATGGCAAACTCCAATAAGCGAACCAGTTTTATCATCGAGACGTAGTTCGATATCGCCGCCAGCGGTCGCTGACGAAACTCGCGCCCTGAATTCGGTTGCACCATTGTCGAATGCAACACCCTTGACCTTGATGAAGCCCCCATTCTCAATGAAAGAGACCTGAATGCCACCATCCCCGATCGCATCGGTCTGGATGCCTTGAGACCATGCGATTGTCTCTGCCTCCTGGCGGATGAATGGGTTCAGTGCAACAACCTGCTCTGGCCCCTCTACGGTCATATTCATCTGAGGAATCGAACCATTGGAGGTGTAGGTAAAGCTCTCGACTGAGACTGAGCGAAGATTATTGCCACCTCCAACTAAAGCGCCGTTGTGGTAGAAAAGGTAAGATTTCCCCTCAAAGTCAATGATTCCTGGGTGATTCGAGTTGGCTCTACCCTGCGCGGGCATAATGAGACCACGATAAGTCCAAGGGCCGGTAGCACTGGGCCCAGTTGAGTATCGGAGATCCTCGCTACAGCAGTTTGCAGCGAAGACCATATAGTACAGGCCGTTGCGCTTGTAGAACCAAGGACCTTCCTCAAGCGTCGTATTCCGATAAGGGTTTCCGAGTCGGTCTCCAAAGCTCTCCACCGTGAGTTCAACCTGAATAGGATTGCCGCTGTATGAGATCATATCCTCGTTCAGCCTGACGTATGAAAGGCCTGGATTGCCCCAGTATAAGTAGGCCTGACCGTCGTCATCGATGAAGACGGTTGGATCGATTTGACCATCTTCGACAAGAGGTTTTCCGATTGCGTCTCGATAAGGACCCGTGATCTCCTCGCTCACTGCAACGCCGATGGATCTCCCCCCAGTAGCGTCATTGGTGATCGTAACGTAATAGTAGAACAAGCCGTTTCGTTGGATGACTTGTGCAGCCCATGCATCTCTACTAGCCCAACTGAGTGCCGAGAGTGATAGAGGAGAACCGTGGTGCTGCCAGTTGACCATGTCGGCTGATGAGAAGAGACGCCAATCGCGCATATCAACAGACGGTGCTGTTACGTTCTCATCGTGTCCGGTGAATAAGTACACTCTGTTGTCGAAGACTATCGGGGCAGGATCTGCCGTATAGATAGTTTGGACAATGGGGTTATCGGCTTGGGCAAATTGGACACAACCCCAAAGAGTAGCCACAAGTAGAGAGACTTGACGGATGTAAGACGACATCATGATGAAGAATTGTAGTTCTTGCCAGTTCGCTGTACAATGAGACGGATTGCATGTAAACTCTTGACTCTGGTGAGCAGGCGATCGAGGTTACTTAAGGTCTTGGTTGCTTTCATATGTGTAAGTGGCGACGCCTAAGCAGAGTCCATGAATAGCCATGTCACGCCGACGGTAGTTGTAAAGGGTTTCCATGCCGGTGGGAAAACTACTACACCCCGCCGGGATTCTCAACGTCAGTTCGGCGAAATACTCCAAACGTCAAGCGCCTACAATGTGAAGTCCCGGCGGGGTGCATGAGTTCTCCACCTGAATGGGTGTGTACATTCCCATGGTTTAGTGACGGCTATGATCCTGGTAGTGTGTCCTTTATCCGATCGGAAACGTAATGATTGGCAAGCTTTTGTGAGTTGAATTGCCCCGAATGATACGCGCGTCTCCTCCAATACACCTATCCAATTCACTCGGATAGTCCAATCTCCACAAAATATCGCATAGGTCATCTTGCGCCATCCTTTGGGTGTCAAGATCAGCTTCATGAGTCTGTTTTGTACAGATTGGCCTCTAGGGACTCGGCGCTTACTTATGTCTCGTTGAATCAAGCCAGTCGACTTGACGTGGCGTTGTGCGTGCTACGCATTATCAGTTCCGAGGCACCATGATTTTCTTGGCACTTTGCTCTTAGCTAGCAGTGATTTGACTGAGCTACGCTCTCATGTGTTACGACTCAACCAATTGCGGTGCTGGCTGGACTGGATACTTCAACGACGATGTGCTCCTTGGCTGTCACTGCTGACAGGGCCTTGGCATGCGTTCTCTTCTGACACTCAACAGTTCTGACGCATGCTAGGATATCGAGGAAGCTTGAATTACCCTTGTCGAGCTGTCTCAAACGGGCAAGGGATAGGTGTGTTCTGCATAGGCCTTGGGATCCGTGTCATGGCATGACAAAATTTATGATTCACGAGTGACTTTGTAATTATTCTAAGCCTGGTATAATGGAACACAAGACAGCTGAAGCGAGAAAGATCGACAGCAATCCAGGATAATTACTAGCTTTTTTGAGAGGCTTCAATCATCTCCCGGTCATCCTTGATAGTCCCAAAATGACCAAAGAAGTGGATCAGGTTTTCAACTTTCAATTTGGTGAATTCATTACATGTAGTTGATGATGGGTTATATTGGAGAAACGGGAGGGGCCCGCATAAAGTCGCACTAGAACGCAAAAACGCCGCTATCGTCACCCACCGATTTCCACTACAACTGAGGCATCATTTGACAGTTCAAACGAAAAAAGAAATCAAAAACATACAACACCAGGTATTCGCTGATCGTCACCGACTCAACTACTAATCCGGCCCTCATTGGCTTATCTATGGGAGAGCGGACGGGATCCCGAGTTTTCCAATGGGTATGGTCGTATGTGACGGTATCGTGAGATCTGCGGACCTAACAAGGAAGCCAGACGAGGATGCAAAGCTTTCCTCCTCAGTTCATGCACCTCTTTTGAGAACGGCCTCTAGTCAAAATAAGGCTACAGGTGACAATTCACGTATCAGAGGAATCTCGCTCATTGAACCATGCTACGCCTTCTATGTACTAACACTGTTTCTGACTGGGTTGGCGAAGTACGGTCCGATTATCGTGCCTTTTCAACAACCACCAACCCGAAACGGACTGTACTGACTATCTGAGCCATCTTGGTTGTCAGAGCACGGGATATTAGCCACAAACTCGGGGTTGATCTTCTCAGCTCCTTGCCCCGACCGCCTTATGCCGTTGAGCACCACCACCGGACATTCCGTGACGGAAAGCGGACCACGTCTGGCACTGATGACAGAAAATCTGAACCTACTCAACACTATCTTACACCTCTGTGAGCTTTGGCTTAGCAAGGTCTTTCGGCGGTCACCGGAGGCACTCCACTAAGAGGAAGCAGGGAGCGAACCGGCCAATCTGACCATTGATCCGAAGCTACATCTATTGTCACCCGACTAGGAGAAAATGCGCATAACATCACAATCAGAATGACTATCTTCTGACAGATTTACAAGAAATCCGACAGATGGAGTCACTGAATCTTCTCTCTCTGAACACACCGACAAGATGTGGTTGCGATATGACACAGTTGGTATCGTTGGAGATTTCCAAGTTTGAGAAGAGAGAAAACAACAAAAGAGTAATCTTTTACAAAGTAAAGTAAAAAAGTGTCTGATTAAGTATTCTCTTCTACGGAAAGTTGCTGATGATTGGGATTGTCAGGTTGCCTTCAAGAGGCATCTACTTCGACCTGAGCCAGGGCAATGAGAGTGCAATCTCAACTGCACCATTGTCTCCAACACTAGCGTCCTTAATTGCCAAATTTCAGTGTGTATTTTTTTGACCGAGTCCTGAAAGATTATGTCTCCCTGATCGGTCAAGGAAAGTTAATGAAAACCTTGACTTCATCATGGGTGTTGAACCGGGCGTAGTAGGCCGGCACATCCTCAATCGAGATACTCGCCGAAGCGATGAAATGAGGGCTTGCCTTGCCGCTGCTGATAAGGTCCACAAGCATCGTTGCGTATAGCTTGGGGTCGACGGGACCAGCTTGAAACTTCAGTCGTTTGCCAAAGAAGTCAGACAGAGGGAACTCGGCGATGGGAGAAAATGTGGATCCTAGAGGGGAGCCGGGCGAATCTGGTTGCGCCATGTACACTCCGACTTGACCAATGCCGCCGCCGATATGGGTGAGATTGACCATCTGATCCAGGATGATGTTGGGCTGGTGCTCCAAGGTCGAGTTGAGAGCCTCGATACCAACACAGTCGACGGAACGCATAACTCCGTTCGGCTCGGAAGCCATAATTTGGGCGACGGGATCGCTGGCTGCGAAGTTGATGGGAATTGCACCAATGGAGGCGGCGAGGTCGAGCCTTGCTTGGACGTGGTCTATTACATACACTCTCGAGGCGCCTCGGAGAGTAGCGGAGTATGCTGCCATGAGTCCAACCGGGCCAGAGCCAAAGACTGCTACCGTATCCCCTGTTTCGAAGCCAGAGAAGTCGAGACTAGCCCAGCCTGTAGCGAAGATGTCGGAAATAGTCAGATAGTCTTGTTCGATGGTGATGTTGGTTGTCTCCCGGGTGAGTGGAATGGGGATCAAGTTAGAGTCGGCGAATCGAACTCTCGCATACTCAGCTAATACATACGGCACGTCAGCCATCGAAGGTTTTCGCTGATGGAAACCATAGCGAATCGTTTTGAGGAAGGTTGATAACTTACACTGGAGACCATCTGTGATGACAGCTCCATTGCCATAGAAATCCAAACCGGCGGGCTCCATCTCAAGCCGACCGTGGTTCACCGTGTCAGGAATGATGACGTAGTCACCGACTTCAAGCCCAGAGACTGCACTCCCAAGCTCGGAGATGTAGCCAATGGCCTCGTGTCCCATATTCCACGGGGGAGCACCGCCCTGGTAGCCGCGGTAGACGTGGAGGTCAGAACCGCATAGAGCGGAAGTCGTGATGCGGACTATGGCGTCGGTCTGGTTGAGGATGGTGGGCATGGGAATGTTCTCCACGGTCATCTCACCGGGAACCCCGCGGTACATGACGCCGCGCATGAGAGCGCCCAAGGTATTGTTCAGAGCCATGGCGAGGACTAAAACTATGACTGTCTGAGGTGAATGAGGAAGTAAGTTGTCCATCATTGCATCCGGAGTTGTCATCTTTATAGAGTGAGCAGCTTGGCTCTTGGAATTTTTGTATGCCTAACACCATCAATACAAGGTTACTCTGGCCAATACTGGAAGGTAGTCCGCAGCGTCTTGGCAATCGAGGCGGTGTTCTCACCCGCGATCTCGGCCATTGATTTGGGATACGTCATGTTTTGCGTGGAGATTAGCGCAAAGCAGCGGGCCGACTCGGTTTCCTCACCTTCTCTGGTGCGTGTAGATGGCCTGGACTACATTGGAGAATCCGCCGGGCTTGACTCGGGCAATGCAAGCCAGCGTCAGCCGATTAGTTATCTTAAGTCCGGCCGATCAGTTAACATTGAGCCAAGTCCTTTAGTACTGAAGTATTGGGACAGCATGAAAATAAGGATTGGAGGCACAATTTCTGTGGATTATGTCTCTTTGAGGAAGCTCCTGAGAGAGTTGAGTTAGATTCCCGAGTCCCCAGCGGTATATTTTGCCCCGCTGGCCCTGAGCAAAAATTACTGCCGGATTCGCAGATGACGAAGATGCCCGATGCACGACCACCTTAAATATTTCAAATTACTTCTCACAGACACATGGATACAGATCATATCATATGGACAGCGTTCGGTCTTTCGAAATGTGGCGAGTAACTTTTCCCAATGGTATCTGCTCTAGGTTTTGTCGACTAAAGTATCCTTCTCAGCTCCCACGCTCTCTGGACGGAACCATCGATAGATATATAACAAGACTAGGATTATAGTAGTAAGAAACCTTTCATTCTTTCAGACTGATAAACCCTTGTTCCTCCGCAATAGGGCTATACTTCTGCAAGATACTGATCATACGGGATGTGATATGAAGGTATGGATTTGAAGGTGGAATAATAGAATTTTAGAGAATGCTGCCAATTCCTCATTGAAGATTTGCTACTCTTGACAAAAGCCGCTCTACTTCTCTATTCCCGTGAAATCCCAGGTTTTATGAGTAACAACTTGAGCGACCGGTTAAATTTCAATCTCATTCCGACGAAATTGCTTTGGGAGCGTCGACCCAGTCAAACTTCCCCATCAAGTTCGTCAGCCACACATCTCCAGGATGGTAAGCTCCCTTAGGAGCCCCTCCGAAAAGCGAAGTACCGCTCAAGAAAGTGTGAGGGAATCCAGGATCAAACTCGTGCGAACTCTCAATCTCGCGAATATCCTCCTCGGTGAGAGCGAGACCAAGCCCCTTGATGTTGCTCTCGATATGGCCTAGCTTTCGCCCACCCACGATAGGAAAGACGAACGGGGCCTTGTGCATGACGTAGGCAACTGCAACGTCGAGAAGCGACGCGCCCTTGGCGTTCGCAACCGTTTCCAAAGCCTTGGAGACCTTCTTATCGTGCTCCGACACTTTGTTCTGTCTGCCCGGATTGTGCTTCTCACGCTCCTTGAAGCCTTCCTCCGTCTGGAAGCGGCCGGCATTGAGAACGCCCCAAGGGCAGAGACCCATGCCTTCATCCATGCACATGGGGATGATCTCCCGCTCGAAATCGCGCAGGGACGCGTTCCAGTTGCCTTGGTAGACGACGAACTGGCGGAGTCCCGAGAGACGGGCGTACTGGTTTGCTTTGGCTACCACCCAGGCCGGGGTGTCTGAGATACCCAAGTAGTGTACTTGGCCAGAGGTAACCAAATCATTGAGCGAGTGCATGACCTCAGGAATGGAGGCAGAATAGTCCCACCAGTGAAGGTACAGGATGTCAATGTAGGTTGTCTGGAGGGCCTTCAAAGATCGTGCGACGGAGTGCTTCAATGACTTTGTGCTGTTGCCACCATAATTGGATTGCAGCTTCGACTTGTCGTGGAGTTGGTAAGCACTGCTGTACTTGGTGGCGAGCACAATGTCGTCGCGATTGCCTCGAGATGCGAGCCATTCGCCGACCCACTCCTCAGACTGGCCGGCCTGATAATTGTTTGCGGTGTCGATGAAGTTGCCGCCCTGGGAGTAGTAGTGGTCCATGATTTCGAGAGCGGTCTCCTTGGTGCATTCACCCATGGTGGCCTTTTGCTTCTCGCCGAAGTTCATGGCGCCAAGAACCAGGGGGGACACGCGTACGGCCGCCGTGGGGGAAAGCTGGCGATGCCGGGCCAGATAGGTGTCCAGGGGTTGCTGAAGTTGAGGGGCCATATTGAGTAATTCAGGTGTCAAGAAAGCAACTTGATGGTATGCGATGGGAGTATTTCGAAACGATGAGTTGACGCTCAGGACACGAGAGATGAGAGTTCAAGTGTATGTCCCCATTCTTCGTGAACGAGCTGTCAACAGTATATGTACTTATAATCTTAGCTTCCTTGATGGAGCATACTACTTAGCTTGCGGTTCACACTGCTGACCATTTTCACCACACATAGTCTCTCGCGCTGCTCTGACGTCGGGGGCTAGACTGTAGTGACTAGAATCATCGATTCGCATCATTCGGAATTAGGTTTGGGAATTCCTGACACATGGAGCATGCAACGGATTTCTCGCTCGTATCGGCCGTAAAGGGCGAGAAATGTGGCAACTTGCTGATGCCGTGACTACATCATTGCGGCATTGGGGCATGGAGATGGCACCTTAGCCGGATCTCTTACCATGAACCGATTCCGAGCAACACAGGGAGACTGCTTGACCTTGATGTAGCGAGAAACGAGGTGGACGGCAGTCAATATCTGGCAGTGGACGTCAGTCATAGTGGCATTTACGATTTGCTAACCAAAGCGAAGAGTCATAATGAGTCGAACGAAACGTCAGCAAGCATTTTGGAACAGAGTCGGAATTAACAACGATGCTGTGATTTGGTGGTTGTTCAGTCGAGAAATGGGACCTGCTTCTTTGACGTTGATGGTTTACCTCAGCTTTAGAGCTCAGGTCCACTTGATCTATGCACGCTACTGCAACCGGCTGACGTGGTACGTACCGCTATTTGATCCAAAATACCCCAACTTCTCGTGCTGCAACCTGCTGACGCGGACGATTCAGCGACTGTAAACACCTTGGACTCCTTGTGACATCAGAGCGTCTCTGAAATCGCTTATTGAGGTAAGCGTTACGGAAGAGAAACTTAGCTTAGGAAGAGATTTAGTCCGGCTATCGCCTCAAAGGAGGTTTAAGTGTGTTAACTACCGATATGAGTTCAAATATCGTTGACACACACACGCGTAACCTCCAAGTCCGTGCTGATGTTCACTATTGCTCACCTGGGATGTAGGCAAAACTTGTAGATGATGCGGGAATACCATTCGAGGAAGATGTCATTTGCTTGCTTTCTGGATAGAGAAATGAAATCATAGAACTACTGATTGGTCAAAGTCCCAATGCCGCAGGTAGATGGGAAAGCAAGGTAATATGCCATTGATCCAGCAGTGACAAAGTTGCTCAAGTCTACTTGGTGGCAACCGCAAACAACTGGTAGGAGTCTTGATCAAAGTGACCTGAATGAATGACCGTCTGCGTGACAGCAGTGACCCATGTTTTCCAAGTACTGATCCTCAACTCATGTTCGTAAATGCCCAAGTCTCAGGGCTATTCCAAGCCATAAGCGTGCCAGTGAAATACATAATGGAATATTGATTTTTCGAATATGGGTAAGTTTGATTGATGCAATTTGATATGTCTATGCAATGCGCGGAGATGATATTACGCCCTGGCTCCATCCCATTAATTATAATGCGAAACCAAACACCTTGCTTAAGCCAACCTCTTTCAAGAGTATGAGATGTACAAGCCATTATCGGCATCATCTTGCATGAACACCCGACCATCTTGTCCATCGTTAAGGTTGACTGCCAACTCCACAACGATCCTCTCCTCACACTTCACACTCGGGCCGCCGTGCGTCGCAGGTGCGGAGAATTCAGGCTGGTCCCAGAACGTGAAATCCATGCCCGCTGAGAATTCGCTGCCTTCTTGAAACGGCGCGATGGTCGTGGGGTTGATCAGAACGTTGCTTCCCTTGGTCCATGTTGGGAAGCCTTCGGACTTGAGCTGGCGCGAAGACACGAGACCGTTGCCGTCGACGCGGAAGACGCGGGTTTCAATTGGTCCCTGGCGCCAGCCGAGTGAGCAAGTCGTAGCCGAGGACGGAATGCCGGTGAAAATGACGACCTGCCGTGTGATGTTGGTGTGGAGGTCGAGATGCGGGACGTTGTCTGTGGGGTGATTCGGTTGCGTGGCGGATTGATAGACGTTGAAGTGTTGAGGATGAGCGATTATGCCCGGTGTCAAGGATGGAGTGCACTCGCGAGCTGCGTGGGGCAGCGACGCAGCGAGAGAAATGATGCTGCCCATGGCGAGGATGAGCTTGAAAGACATTGTATTGCGTTGGAGAAAAGCCACAATAATAGTACCAAGTAAGTGTTGGGCAGGTTGGAGCAAGTTGCGATGCGACGAAACTCCGGATTAGAGAAGCTAAGTTGAAAATGAATTGTTGAGATAGTGGTTGTGGTGAATAATCTGGAAAAGAGCCGTGGCTTTATGTCTACTTCTCATCACTGAAGGGATGACCAACGCTCTCACGATGGCCGCATGAAAGCTATGCTCGGCGAGGCTGGAGCTGGAGCTAAGGTGGGCTTCCGTTGGAAGAGTGTTACGACGGGTCTAAGATCGGGACCCGGGCTCAGCCTGTCTTACGGCTTACGGCAGGGTTCAACAAGCCTCGATGCAGACCTCAGTAATTCCGCCAAGTGGTCCACAGCAATGGACACAAGACCGGAATGTCATCCGGATAAGCATAAACATAGGCTTCCGTCAGTGGTTTCCAACTTCGCCTCGCAGAAGCTCTGGAATGAGCCACGGCGGGATCCGATGAACTCCAGCTGATCTCGGTGATGCACGTGTTGGAAATGAAGCTAAGAGAAAGTGCAAGGCTAAGTGCGAGTCGGAGTACCGCATACATACAGGTCGCAGAGAGCTCAAGATCTAAATATAGTCGTCAGCATTAGCGTGGGAAGGATTCAGTGGATGGGTTGGTGAGCGGCTGAGGCTTAGCACACAAGCTTGGCAGAGCGGATGCACAGTCGTCTCACACCCGATTGAATTGAATCAAGTATGAGAGTTCATGCATATGGACCATGTTGAACTGGTCTAATATCAGTGCTATTCTATGTCTTATTTTCTATTGGGAAAATGACAACACTCTTGTTAACTTCGTTGCTCAAGGTGTGGCATTTGTGATTGAGCAAATCGAGTAGAAGCAGATGTCATATTGGCGGCAACCTTTGCCTTAGTCATCACACGCCAGGTGATGAGAGCGGTAGCTGCTATCACTCAGGTAGCAATTTTGCACCGACCAACAATTGGAGATATGCCTTTACACTTATGATACGTTTGCCTGGAGTTTTTGATGAACCGCTTCAAGCTTGGAGGAAGTCACACTATTTTCTCCAGAGACTTTGCTAGCATTGTCTCATCTCCGAGTTCAAGTCAGGAGCAGAGGCAAAACCAATGTCCCTGTTTTACCCCGCTTCTGACGATATCACACAATGTCACAAACACCTCAGCTTCTACTGGACAGCGCTACCCTCTTTCAATGCGCTTTTTGCCAGGGCCTTGGATTGAATGGAATCAGTCGAGATGACGGCTCGAGTCTGTCGAATCTTGTCATAGTCGACTTGCGTCTAGTGCGCAGCCGTTCCAGTGACGGGTGCGTTGGATGCTCCATCATTGAAAAGGCATTGGCACACTTGTCTCCCGAATGGAGAAACTTTACGAATCGCTCTAAGTGTGAAAAATGTCGGCCAAAAGCCTTTAGACTGTGTAGGACAGGCGACTGCGCCAAGTCGGCGTTTGCTCTGCTTCCATTGGTGGAAACGATAGAGCTGTGCTACCCATTTCACATACTCGATGATCTGGCCGCTGGGCCTGAAAGGAACCTTGAGCTGTTTATTAAAAAAGGCAATGGTTTCGAATGCCTAGAAAAAGGGATGTCACCGCTAACAAAGATGTCGTAGGGCGGCCACTCAATGTTGAAGAAACCATTCTCCTGACTCAAGGGCGAAGTTCTGAACAGAGCTGGCAGGAGAGGCTGCAACAAGCAAATTCATGGATCCATCATTGCCTCAATAACCATCAATGCAGTGGTGGACTAGCAGCCAAGACATTTCAAAAAGACTATGAAAATGAAGTAGGTGTCAAAAATGATAAACATCCAGAAAAGGGAGAAAGCTCGGGCGTCCGACACAGTTCGTTTCTTGAAGGTTACCGCCAGACCTCACAATTACCTCGAAGACTCCTCGACCTTCGGCAATTCAGTTCGCACCAAAGTCTGCGTCTCGTGGATTCTATGGCGGATTATGGTGTATATGCTTGCCTGAGCTACACATGGGGTCGACAAAATACGGCTGTGACGACCACACAAAACCTTCATGATCGCCTAGACGACTTGCCGTTCGACAGTCTTCCTCAAACATACAAGGACGCCGTCACGGTTGCTGCACTCTTGGATATTCCCTTTTTGTGGATTGACGGTCTTTGTATCATTCAAGGCGATACCGACTCAAAAGACTGGGCCGAGCAATCTTCACTGATGGCGGAAATCTACGGAAACGCAATTCTGGTGATTGCGGCTGCTGGTTCCAATAGTGTTGAGGAAGGTTTTCTCTCTACACCACAGCTACCACGAGAACTCGTTACGTTACAGTCTTCGCAGCTGGAGAATTTGGAGAATGGGAGCGAAGGAACTGCCTTGAGCGTGTTTGCTAGAGCTATGCCAGATCACAGTTGGCTTGGGTGGTCCACATTGGCGGAACCAAAATCCCACGGGACGCTCAGCCGCAGCTGGTGTTTCCAAGAGGAAGTCCTTGCATCTCGACTCCTCACCTTTTTTGGAGGCGAGATGAACTTCCAATGTCTTGAAGACGAATACCGATGCGAATGTGCATTCCCCGCCGCACCCCTGGGCCTTGTCACGATCAAGGAGCTGTACGAGCCTCGCTTGGAACTAGGCGATATGGAAACTCCAAATTGGATGTGGCAGAGTACCGTCGAGCACTACACCCGACGGAAGCTGACGGTGGCCACCGACAGGCTTACTGCGCTATCTGGAGTCGCCCGGGTCGTGCAGTCAAGTCTCCGCACAAAGTACGCCGCCGGCCACTGGGTGGATCGCGACTTTCTGTGCAGCTTGTGTTGGGCGCCTGTGAGAAACAGGGAAACCGAGCGTACCTACTCACAAGATTACGTTGCTCCATCGTGGTCATGGGCTGCCCATAACGGACCTATCACCATGTGGATCCCTTATGGCGGTTCGGAAGAGTCAGTCACTCCGCGCTTCCTCAGTAAAACTGTTGTCCGCAATATCGACATCATCCCAGCAACAGAAGATGATACGGGCGCTGTGACTGGGGGGAGTGTAACTGTTAGCGGCGTCTTCCTCGATGTTTCAGTGTTAATGACATCAAGAGAGCAATCCGCAGGCGTCATGATCAGAAGCTCGGAGAAAATCCCATTTTACTTCGATCGACCAACGGAAGCAGTGAGAGACACTGACAAGTACTTTTGTTGGATTGTTTGCATATTGCCGAGTCCGGCTGTTAGTAAAAAGAGAACTGAAACATACTGTTTGATGGTACTCCGCAGTATGCCTGGCGGACCTGCTCATTTTTGCGAGCGCGTAGGTTTCACCGACTTTGATGGATTAGCTTCTGACCCTTCTATGAAGTTTTTTAAGGGTTTCAGAGATTCCATTAGAACTGCCGTAATAATCTGATGGGTTTACATCCGAAATAGGGGTCTTGGTCAAGAGTCATATACCAAATTCAACATGTGTGTTTTTGAGGTTGAATGGGCACTTGAGCTATCACTCTGGCATCTCTGCAATATTCGCTAAGGGATTCATTGGAAAAAGCGTTCTTGGCAGGCAGGCCCACCATCTCTTAGGTATCAATACCCTTTACGGAGTATCGAAGGATGATTTTGCCCTGAGTGATTTGGTTGAAACCCGGATAGCTACTAGATATCAGACCCGAGTTACGGGAATACAACTCCAGCAGCATGTGGGAGAGCAAGTGCACTCTCGGGATTCTACTCAGGGGAACGTTCGCTTAAGACTTGGCAGCTGAACGGGACGGAGGTGACATTTATTAATACCCGATGTTTCCATCCCATATCAGATTCTTCCTGGGCACGGATGACGTACAAACCACCAATTAAGGAATCTGGGCTTGTGCTGGAGTTTCAGATGGTCGATTTCCCGGAATTCCCTGTAATCCCTCCCGCTTGCCCACATAACGTTGCTCTTAAGTGTCAGAGCGGTAGGCAGAAAAAAAGGGGGAGCTTTACCAAAGCTGGGGCACTCAACCAATCAGCTTCATGTAGACGCGGATTACTGATACTTTGAAACTCTCGGTAAAGTCCTGGGCTGCATCAATGACTTCAATTGCGAAAATAAAATTGCAGAAAATGCAAAAAGACAAAGTGTGTTGAAGATGAATTGCGATTCAGTAACTATGGTTGTCGCATCTGAATCTCGTCATGTGATATAATCTAGACGTGCGTTTGGAAATTTTCTCTCAGAGCTATCCCTCGTCGTCCATTTCCGATTTCGTTCAATAAAGACTGAAATAAGCCCGTAGAGCTTCGCACACCAGCTCAGCCTCACTGAAGTGGAAATGGAAACTACAAAGTGGCGCGTCCAGGATCATGTCCCGTGGCGGAGGCGGTTCAGTAAGGGGCTCCGGGAATCACCTTCGCCATTTTAGCCTACATCACCCCGCCCGGAGCGGAGGAAGCAAGGAAGCTTTTGCCTAGACCATCCCACCGGATTCTGCCGCCGCGTATGCTGTGGTGTACCGTACGCGTGGTTCATTCATTCAGCCGATCCTGATAATTTGAGCTTTGTTTGTTGAGCGTATGGGAGTTCGCGAGACCTCCTATGTTGTAGAGCGATAGAAGCCTGCATTGAAAAAGTAATTGTGACAGAAAATTTGGGCTTTTCCGACGTCACATCGTTGTTGGTCAAATTCTTTATGGATCTTGCCAGCCAATGAGACAGGAATCCAGTAGCCAAGTCCACAGAGCACTCTAGGAAACTTCCTGAACAATGTAATGCATATTCATTGGAGTAGCTCCGCAATAGCCTTATGAGATTCCAGCCGTGAAGGGTATCATATGAATATCGGCGTAAGACGTCCGGTATGGCCGAGTGGCCGGAACGGTGGGGGCGCGGCCTCTTCCGAGGCTGGAGCCGGTGAACGGGTGAACGTGACGTGACGGGCTGTCCGCGAAAAAGTTCGAAGGGGAAAAGAAAGGAAAATCCCGCTCCGCCTTGCCCTACGGATGCCCGATGCCTGTGCGTTTTTTCAGGGTTCGATTCGACTCGTGCATGTTCATCCCACATTCCGAAACGAATTGTGCTGGTTGACGTAGGTGCCATCTAGGATGGACCTCATTCTAGAACAGACGAAAAAGGCACTGCCGTTGGCGATTACAAGGCCAATGCCTGTTTCTTCATCCAGACTCCCACCAACCGCGCGGTTGCATAAGAAAGTTGTGATGATAGATGAGCAACTACGTACACTGGTGGAGTCTCAGCCTCCGTGGCCTGAGCCGCGATATGGGATGATGGGGATGGAGGTTGGTGGTTTGTTGGTCAAGAAGCTTTTTTTACCAGGTTTTGGGGCGGGGAGATCACGTTGTGCCACGGATCTCCCGGACAGAGATTCATCAAAGTTGGCTCACTTTGCTCTAGATAAATAAGGATCTTGAATCCCGCTAGAGAACTTCTGCTCAGACACTCATCACTCTTAACTCCAAGTAAAAGTAATTACTCCTACATCAGTCCGTCATTACTACAAGCTTCCTTCAGCTTCAAACAATCGTTCAGTAACCACTCACAAAATATCCGAAGATGCAGCACATCGGAAGCCTCCTTTTGGCCTTTGCCACCCTCACTGCGGCAGTCCCAGGACTTGCTCCGGCTAGCGTGAGGTCTGCTAAGTCTTCTCACGTTCGCCGCGCGGACACCAGCTCTTTCCAAATCTATGCTTATGGAACTGGAATTGGTGGCCTGGCATTGTTCACCGCTGGAGGTAAGCTATTTCCCCGACTACCAGTTCGGTTTAAGATTTGTCTACAAAACTGTGAACTGCCGGTCGATACGACCTAAAGATCGTCCCGAGTCTTCACCTAGTGTCTCTTTAGATGCAGGAACTTTACCACCAGCTCGGCTCGGTCTAGACCATCATTGCCGAGACATACCGTTAGACTAACACTCATTTGCACAGGCGATGCCTACTTTGGAGACTACACTCAGTTCAACGACTCCAATGCCGCCCCGGTGATCTGTAAGTACCAGCAACCCCACTTTCCTTTCTTGGCGACTGCGGGACTGACCGGACGATCGATGACAGTCACCCCTGATGAAGATGATACTGAGACATGGCTTGGAGCGCCTAACACCACCGCTGTTACTACTGCTCCCACCTGGTCAAACCTGACTTTCACCATCCCGACCGCCGACTCCGGCGTGCACAATGTTGCTTTCCTCAACAGCAGCGCGTCCACAACCGGCCGCAAGACCAGCGGCTTCAGCTTTTACGGCAACTTTGTCCTGGTCGAGGCCGAGGATGGTAGCTTTGAGTCTTGGTGGTATGCTACCGCCACTGACATCGATGGCATCTACAACCTGAGGTGGAACGAGACCGGCGATGACACCGATGACAAGATCATCTTGAACCTGAGAAGGACTGCTCCTTCCAACTAAGTTTTGATTGTGTTCAAATCCTGTTTGTGGTTAGTACGAGTCAGGTGGATGTTACCTTGCGATTAAGTTCGATTTAAGCCCCGATTGTGGGTGTGATCATTTCAAGTGGTTGAAGAGATTCGGGGCAACCAAAGGCGTAAAAAAGGCGGAATAGTCAGGATGGTGCAGATAGAGCAATGTGATTTCTTTTGATAGCATCATTGGCATCACGGGGTTCGGGTCTTTGGACGCGAGGAGATCAGAGCCTAGGTGGACGTTGAAATATGCGATATGTACTTACAGCATACCCAGTACTTGGTGTTCAAGGAGCCCACCTGAAGTAGACCCGACGAAGAGCCAGATTCTATGGCCCATGGCGCGGCCTTCTGGAAGACAAGAACCTTCTACTAACATAGATCTTTTATCTGGAAGCCAGTACGAAAAGACCATTGTGACCTCTGTCTTGTGGTCATAGAACAAAAGTAAGTAGTGCCATGTTGTTGTTGCCCCTTCTCGGAAAATGCCCCGCCCCCACAACCCGAGTGAGTCTTCACCCGCGGCCCGCCAGTCTGCCCCGACTCCAGTGCTGCCGAATCGGTCGCGACATCACCTGACGATCTTTGCTGCGCGCATTTTTCCACAACAAGTGCGACAAACTTCAACATTATGTTATATACTGCAGCTAACTCCCGATAGCCCCAAGGCTTCTCGTTGTTATCGTGTCGGCAATTGCTTGCTATCTTCTCTTTGAATGGTGAACCAAGGCGATTGTTATCCCGTGAATGGGATGTTGCTCCATGAATGGTACGTCACAAACAAGAATACAACAACTAGCACGCCCGGTCCACTGAGCGGCCACGTGCTGGCGAGGCGTGTTGGGGGATGAAGACGCACCACATCAACTCACCCACACCCATATTCCGTATAAAGTCCCGTACTTAATGGCCCGAAGATGCGGACGGCTCATAGGGATATACTTGGTACATCTATCTAGTAAGCTCATGTCGATCGGTCGGTTGGTGAAGTGGGCTACTTCTGCGGATGGACGGTCGTTGATTACTGATGTATTAGAAGCCATCATGTAGGAATTTGGTACGACGAGAGGTACGACGAGAAAGCCCGCCTGAGTACTTCACTTCTACACAACACAAGTAACACAAGTCACTCAGACTTGATCAGGAGTCCAAGTGATAACTACGCTCAACAACGGGTACACGTGGTAAGCTAGGCTCTGAGGCAGTCGATCCAGCCGCAATAGCGAGATTAACATCAGCATTCGTAATTGACCCCAAGCCACAATCTTCTACGCCTAACAACTAATAGCATGCGCTTTGTCCGTGTTTGTTCCTCTTGGCGTTTTCTTCCATAACTTCCTTGCCCGATCGCGTGCTGGCATTACATTTACGCAGTCTTTCTTGATAGAAACTTGAAGGCATTGCTCTCAACGTTAGAGACGCGTCGGTCACAGCTCATCAAAGTCTACCCCTTTCTCTCTACCCTTGGCTACAAATCTCGCCTTCTGAGCCTTGACAATTTCATTGGCGATCTTGGTCCAGAAAGCACATGCTGTCTGTGTGTTCTGATCGTCGCTTGTAGGCTTGAATGGCTGCACAGCCGGCTCCCTCACTTTGAGTACATTCTGGAGCGCGTCCTCGCTACCATCTGCCACTGGCCAGTCTGGCGTGGTCCAGCCTGGTAACAACGGCACGGGTTTTACCTTCGGCCTCGGAAGCGCATTCGGATTCCCAACCGATACTGCGAAGGACGCAAAGTACGTCTGGTACGCTCGAGCCAGCTGGGTTCCGACAAGGGCATCGGCATAGAGACCAGCTTCGGTAGTGGTGAGATTTTTATCAAAATCCATTAGAATGTCCACAGCTTCGGTCTTATTGTTGGCGAACAGAGTTAAAAGATCTGACGCGTGGTGAGCATATTCGGCGGTTGGAAATGCGTATTGCATCATGTGCGAAATGGTCGGATATGCAGAGTACAGATCGCGGGTGTTGCAGGTGAAGCTTGCGTCACGGATAACAGTCGCGATGCAGAACCGATAATCGCCATTATAGGGTGGTTTGGTGCAAGGGTACTGATTGGCTATGTCTTGTCGTTGAGGCTCAAGGTCGGCTTCCGGGAAGAAGGTTTCGAGGAATCCGGTAAATGTGTCGGACGAAGTTACATCTGGTGGGGTGAACGAAGCAGTTTCGTTCAGGCAGTGCGATATGATCGTTGACCTGATGGAGGAGTTCCAGTATTTGCCTGAGAATTCGATGTAAGCCACTGTGCCGCAAACTCAATTGCGAGTTTTGATAACTTACCATTCGCGAACGAAATGGTCGGAATCGTGGTGACCCATTTGTCATCCACAGCTGGTCCAACTGGGAACAGGCCGGTCTGCTTAACATTGGCGAACAGCGCCAAATTCGCTTCTGTCAGGTTCGTAGACTGCTGTAAGCAGGTCAGGTTGAAGGCGAGGCCACAGCCGGCTTGATACGAAAAGTTCTGGTAAACCTGGTCCAACGTGCCCATCGGGCTATTGTCCCATGCCCATTCAAACGCTGGGCTCTGAACAGCGAAGGTCTTGAACGTGGGGTCCACAACGCCGTCCTCACGAACCAAATGATGGAGAATGGACCCAGCGCCGGCAGACTCGCCCCAGGCACTGACCTTTGATGCATCGCCAGACACCTGGCTAATGTACTTCTGTACCCATTCGAACAGTAGGGCCTGGTCGTAAAGTCCCGCATTGGGTTGGCCATTCTTCTGCATGTAATCTCCCGAGAGCCAGCCAAAAGCACCGAGGCGGTAGTTGCCTGCAATAAAGATGGTCTGATAGTTGCTTGCCGCGATTACTGACTGGCCAGTGTACAGAGGACCAAGTTGGTTCTTGCTGCCAAATGCGAACGCGCCGCCGTAGATCCAAACTACCACCGGCAAAGGATTTGCCGGGGGGGTGTCAATTACAATCTTTGGCACGTAGAGATCGAGGAACAGGCAGTCCTCGCCTTGTTGATTGCCCTGATCATTAGGTGTACCGATAGGGCTTCTACCACCTGGTGCGGTGCTGAGATCACTTGGGTCTATTTGGATACAATTGAGTCCGTCACTGACGGGCTGAACAGACGAGTTTGTTGTCGTGGGAAAAGCAGGGGCACCGAAACGCGGAGGGTTTGCACCGAAGCGGACGTTTTCAAATAAATAAATCTGTGGAATTAGTTAGCAAATGCTCTTGCTTTGGATCGAATGCGTTCTTATCTGTCTGTCACTTACTTCTGGATCATCTGCCATGGGTTGGCCTTCGTAGACTCCCCAGGGAAGCTTCAGCGTCGGTGGCAATGTAGGCTCTGCATGCACGGTCCGAAGACGGGCAAAGCCAAACAGGCTATACAAGAGCAGTTTCGTAACCATGGCGAGGACAACAATCGAGCTGAACTTGAGCCTTTAGGTAGTGGTGCGCATTTCTTATCTTGGTCAACTGAACTCGATGAGGTTCGACTATTTATGAATTTTCCAGCAACACCCGTACACACAAGGCCATGTCCATCTGTCACCATGCCATTGAACGTGGCGCTGAGCTGAAAATAAGCATGGGCAGCTGAACACTCTTCTTGACGGTCGTGAGACACGCAACGTGTCCAGGCTGGCATGACATCGACGGATATGGGCAAGGTCGCCAAAAAATGAATCAGCTTCCCATTTCCCATGCCTGCAAACGTTGGTACGCACCTAAGAACTCAATTGCCGATTGAGTCAGCCCCCGCCTGTGTCTAGCGGAACGGCACGTAACTAGTGTCGACGGCTGCAACCGTATGGGCTAGTCAAGGGTCAATGTGGGTTCCGAGTTGACGGACTCACGAGACACGAATTCCTCACGATGTTCAGCTGGAACTAATCACGATTTCCTACATGCACTATCCTCAATTACGTTTCCAGGCCGTGAAGAATGTGTGAGAGCCGTGCTATGGAGTGGCGCCCTCTACAAAGACACTGGTTTGAACAAATGTAACGTGTTGCCACAGCGACGTGTAGGCATCTTACCTACGGATGATTACATGTCGTTCCAAGAAAGGCTGCGTCTGTTGATCTCCAACAATTCAGTCCGCTGACGATGAGACCGCCGAGTTCTAGAGTACTGACATCCCGTTTACGCATTCATGGGGTCTCCACGTCGAGGAACACTCATGCCTACCTTAAGTAAAGTAGGGAGCGCCACCGAGATCTAAAATAATTAGCTGAATGCTTAGTGCTAAGCCTCCTCCAGACATACTATTGTCTGCTCCTCACAAAATTGAATGAGGAGTGTGGACATTCATCACATGGAACATGACAACATTCAGCCGCGTCGAGAGCTGTATCGAAGTTGTGTACGAACCGCAGCAGCAGGTAGCCGAAAGCAATCAAACCACTCTCTCAGCGGATATCTCATGCCACATGAGCCCATTCGAGCTGGTGTTGTCCAATGAGATGCTTGTTAGCATCTCATGCCCCTGGCATTTTTATTGATAGCGCACTCCGCTTCAAGAAGGCCTTATGCAATATAACGCAGGCCTCCTTACGAATGTTCTAATAGGTTGCTTTTCAGTAGTGGGTGACTTGAGTAGTTTTCCTTGATTACCAAGTCAGTATCTCGGATTTTAGAATCACATGGCCTCAGCACTGTTGTGTGATCCAAACCATAAGACCGTTGTTCATTTTACCCAAACTCGGTCCATGCATGATAAAGGCCATTCAAGGAGCATCACTGAATCCGCTTAGTTATCCATATGTGTACTGGTCGTGAGTAAATACTTGTGGTGCCATCATCCGCGGATTCTAGATCCTCGAGCTCCATAAGGTATAGACATATCCGCGCTCGGCGGCGTCAGGCATGGAAGGCTTTGAATCACCTAGACAAGGTCAAACTTACTTCAGGAATACATCTTAATGATGACAGAAAAGATTGGGTTCTTGTCATGAGTGGGCCTCTAGTTGACATGGGCAAACTCTGCCAAGTTCGTCGCCTTGTGGTTCACCTGAAGTCGCGTCAGAGCCTCATTAAATACTTACGAGAAAGTCGAGCTCGAGATTTTCCTTCGTCTAAACAACCCTCTTCTAATTTCTAGCCAAGTTGCACTATCGCCCAGACCTCGTTTCCCGTGAAGCTGCCGCTGAAATTGTTATGGCGGCCTCCCTGGACTCTTACTCTGGACCCTCAGTGGCACAAAGAGAGAACAGCCTTGCACTACACCTTGCGGACCGATGGATACTTGGAAAAGTTGTGCTTATGTGACATGCAATGATCGCACCATGGTTCTGATGAGAAAGAGATTGTATTCAGATGGTGCTCTACGGTGGTGAACACCAGTGTTTGCAAGTCGCGCTTGTTGGCCTTAGACAGTGCGTCTAACACCAAGCTGATAGTCTTCGAGAAGCTCGCAGATAGCCGCTCGTGCAGGTTTTCCTCAGGCAGACATTGTTCTTTCGCAGAAAAGCTGGACTAGTGACGGAGCAAGAGTGCACCGGCAGAGAAACCTTGAAGCGGGATATCTGAGCCGATCAACCCCCATTTTCTTGCCACCCACGAGAGAGTATGGTTGATTCTAAAGGGAAATCAAATCATCAAACTTTCTTGAAAGTTATGTCTTCTTTGAGTTGTCCTAGCCTAGGGGTGATCGACGCACGTATAACCTCGTAGGGATGGATCAACGCGGCAGGCGCTTTTAGCAAGCCACTCACTCCGGGCCACTTCACTTAAAGTCAAGCCGCTGCACATCCCTGTAGATGTTAGCTGGAAGCTGTCGTCGTTCAACAACCAATCACAAACTGGAGCCAAACGTTGAGATCTGCCGATCAGGGGAACTCTGCTTTTGTCATCAGTCACGTTTCGACATACACCTAGACTCAGCACAAGGGAATGGCTGAGAGATCGCCTAGGCTTTCCAATATGGCAGTCTATTAACCGATGACAATTTCTCAGACCGACACTCTGTTGCCATCCTGCCCAAGACAATATGCGCACGCATGCCGGTAGAGCCGACCGATGCGTCTCGAAATAAATGCCACGATGGCGCCATTCGCCCAATGGCTGAGCATTAGGATGATCCCTTGCCACGTAAAAGCAACGGCAGCCAACGAATGGATGTGAACAGTCGTCGTATTCGCAAGATCATGCCTCAGAATACAGCGGTGAGAGCCTGTCCGAAGGAACATAATGTCTCAAGAGGGAGGAGTGGACGTCAACATTTCACAGCGGTGAGTGATATCAGTTGGCTTCAGCTGAACTCCTTGAACAAGGTTTGCAGAAGAGAGTATGCTTGGCATAAAAAAGGCGGACGATCGACTCCTCTTGCGAAGATTGACAAGGTGAATGGAGATCCATGGCTTTCGTGAGGTAATCACGTATGAGACACCAGGAAACTTATGCCTGCTTAGGGAAGGGTTGAGGTGCATGTCGGAGCAAACGTTGGCCACGATCTGCCCTGAAACACAACAGAGAGAATGTGGGAAACTTGGAGCTCATGTATCTCATTGAGGGACTAAAAGCTCATCATTGTAGCTAGTCTGGATGGCATGGAGTTCACAGATGACTGATGTGGATATAAAAGCGACTTGATTTTCAACCTTAGAAGGCGAATAATCATCTCGACCTCCCAAGCGATCAGCTCTAATCTCCAAGGACTCCGGCGAAGATAACAACTTTCGTCCTCTCTCCTTACTTACACATCACTTTGAAGCCACTACATTTCTCACAATGGCAGAGCACAACGTTGGTGAGTAGAGTTCGCCTCTGGCGCAATCCCTCGAACGGCGTGTTTAGCCGCACAACGCTGATCACTGACTGCACGATCAGGTGCTCTTGTTGCTCTCTCGCCTCCCGAATACGGCGACAACGTCTGGGAGGCCAAACAGGTCGAGCTTCACCGCAACCTACCCCCCGGAGATGACCAGGGACGCCATTCAATTGATTGGAGCTTTGGTCCTATCAAGGTACGCCCTTCCAGGATGTCAGGTCCAGAAGTTACACAGCACCAGTTGAGAAACATTGCACATTTACCATTCAAACTTCGCGCATTCTTGGATCTAACTGATGTTCTCTACCCACCTCTCAGATCAGCGGCTACGTAGATACCAACACTTTCGAAGTCGGTTTGACCATCACTGTCACCGGCATTGACCTCGGCAACATCTTTGGCAACCTCAAGGACGGCGTCAACATTAAGGTCAATTTACTGACCACCAAGGGCGAGATTCGAATTTATCTCAAGAATGGCAACGAGGTCTGGGTCCATCTGGATGTCAAGATAGTCTTCGACGGCAGCTATCAGGGAGATTACAAGATCATCACTATCTGAGTGATGACATTTGTATTGGTAGATCATGAAGCTGTAAGCTGGTTTCTTGTGATACAACAATAAACTTGAGTGATTTAGGTTCAAGGTAGAACAAAACCTTTCTCTCGGAGTCTCTATTGTATGCTTTCAATGGGTTCGAAACGAAGGTCTTCTAGAGACCAGAATGAGTAACTCATTCGTTTACCAAATTTAAACGGACATGGCATGATTTGAGTAACAGCTTACGTTTCCTGATTTTCTCATCTGAGGGGACTTGAATGTACTTGTGAGATACTTCAACGCAAAGAATTATGTCCATATTTGATTGGTTATCTTGAATCAGAAGATTCCTGAGTACACTAGGGAAAGATTTGTTTGAACTCGTCAACCGATGTATGGAGAACCTGGGTCAAGCTGTCATTCGATCCAAACATAGACGCACGTAACTGAGATAGAAGTCTATATCTCAAAAAACGGTTTGTCATCAACTACCTCAGACAATTTGGGGCTATAAAATGCCGTTCAAGATGGCGAGAACGCAAGTTCCTGTTTCTCTGTGGTGTCAATTAAAATCACATCATTTTATCCCCAAGAAGGACCTCTTCTGTGCAACGTCTTTTTTCTCTGTTATTGTTACTACCTGATATCACCCAGAGCGCGTCCGAGGCAAATCACTATCAATGCTGATTCCTTTGCCAGATCACAAACCGACTGAGGTGCAGATGACACTCACACGGCCTCCAAAGCGACTATCCGAGTGTGACCCTAGCATTTGCCAGTATAGCAAGAAGTGGCACCGCAGCATACGTTCTTGTGGTTGGAACAGGTGCAGGACCAGATCTGGCGACTGACCAGCTCATTGACGACAGCTTCGGCGCGAGCCTCCAGGGCTTCAGCAGTCTCAATAGCGGGCGCTGCCATGGCGAGAGCGGCGAAAAGGCCGACGATGATGGCGGAGACCTTCATTGTGCACTGGGATTTTGGGTAGATCTAAATGTGACGGGAGTAGGCGTCAATGATCCATGTCGCCGCTAGAGTTTGGTGAAGTTTTAGCGGTGAGATACTTACTTAGTTGAGAATGAATGATGTGGAGTTTGCTTAACTTGCTGTGTCTAACTTCGAATTCGAGGTTGTGGGTGATGAGAATGTTGGATAGAGGCGGGCGGAGGACGGCTTTATTTATAGTCATTAAGGAAGCCGACTGTCTTCGTATCCTCGACATTAGTTTGCCACAATTTGAGACTATCCACAAGACATCCGACCAAGATGTCATATCAGAATCAGGAAGGTGTTTGGGAACAAAATCCGTTTGGTTCCTAGCGCAGTTGCATGGAGACACAGCAGCTGCCACATATCAACCGAAAATGCCTGCTACATAGACGGTAGTTCGGGCACAATATCCGTAAGCGGCACTATATAGTCGTGTTTGGCAGATCAAAAGTTCTTGCAACGACAAGTTGCATAATATGACGGCTGCATCCGAGGACTAAGCATAGGAAAGTGCAAACGGGCATCCCATGAACTCAATAGGCATTATGTCACAACAATGTTTTCCAGCTAGTGTCAGCCATTCCCACTAGTCCCTAGACAGAACTCAGGTTCTTTCAAACCTCACAGATGTGTGATCAATGTGTCCAAGATCAAAAACAAATATCTAAGAAGAACTGAGGATAAGTACGGTAAGGACATAATCAGGCCGCTTAACACTTGCTTGAAACCTCAGACTCCTATAATTAACCAATGGGAGTACCAATTGTTATGGCTGAAGTCTAAAGCCCGAGTAGTTTCTCCAAAGTTACTTTGCTCCGTTGCGTCCGAAGGATTACGATCACCAAACTTTACATGGAGAAATAGGCTCCGAAGGATTCGATTGCATCAAGCTCGTACTTTGTTGAGCCAAGTACTGTAGGATTTGTTTAGCGAGCAGCCCTGGCTCCCTGTGTCTGCGTTGTGCATGCAGAAGGATCAGCCAATGCCTGCTGGGCATGCCTCGCTTGAGTCGAGAATTGCCTGATGTTGACAGAAAGGAGTAAATGTTGCATTTGAATCAAAAAAACGACGACTCCAATGAGCAAGGCCCCAGCTTGAGGACCTTCTACAACTATCTGGAAGGGCGATTAGCGCTGAATGAGGAAATGCTTGCGGAGTATCGAGTACAAGACTACCGCTGCATATTTCAAGGAATTTCCAACTCGAACGCGATGAGAGATTCCATTCAATGCAGCCATCTCAAGTCCTGAGGCACAAGGTGCTTTGGCACTTGCAGCTGTGACACTAAGTCCACAGCTCAGGTATGTTGCAACTCGTATTCATCACCTGATTTCTATCATATTTTTCACTTTTGTCTTCGGCGCATCCTCCCGACGCCCGATTACAGTGTAGGCCTGGTAGCTCAGCTGCCAGCGCGGGATTCCTCAAAATTCGGTAACAGAACAGGCAGTGCATTTCTTGGATACTCAAACAAGCATTGGGATTTGATGCAGACATCTCAGACTAAGGGAACTTTTTGAATCTGTTATCCTTGAACAAAGTTGATAGAGTCAACTCAATTGGTCAATTGCAAGTGTTCGTAATGCATCAACTTATTACACTGGCCGTACAAGCACAAAGTACCTCATGACTGTGGCCACTGCTCAGTCCCATCCGCAAAATGCCCATCTGTGCCCAGCATCCCCCAGAGATGCTCCAGCCGAACACCCCCAAACAAGTCCGTATTGCTGATTTCGGTAAACATACCCGACAAATCCGGAAGTTCAAGATCCATCAGGTCAATACCCGGGTCCACACTGACCTCAGCGGCATCCCTCGCCGGTGTCTGTGCAGTCTGCCAGGGCTCTGTCGCCGTTGTGCTCAAAGAAGCTCGGTTCTGACGATGACCAGATACAATCTCTGACATGTTGGATTGCAGAACGGAGCACGCTTGGATGAACCGGGGGTTCTGTGTGACCTTTGTGTACTGCTCCTCCGCATACTGTGCTGCTATGCCCAAAAGCTCCAAATCGGACCGGGCAAGCCGGGAACTGGGTTGCTTGAGGATGTGGAGAGCGAGGGCTACTGCAGACATAAGAGGCTGGGTCATTGTGAAGATCATAGACTCTGATCGGTTGTGATGAGACTGGGCGAACATGCCGCCATTCCCGCCGCGCGGCGTCGGGGTCGCGTCGTCTGCGATTTCGCCAATAAGTCTGGCCATAGCTCTCGCCGATCCGATGCAGATTTCTGCGCCACGTCTGAGTCTCGTCAGCTCGACGGATGACAATGCCCCCGAGTCTGCTTGTGTGTTGATATGTGTTCGATACATCGACTCTGGAAAAACTAAGGCCGCCCGGTGGAGGGAGATGAGGGCATGGTGGTAGTGGATAGCGAGAAAAATGGCAAAGTGCTGATGTCCCGTATCACACAGGTCGGCATTTCCACTGTTTGGACCTGGAGGGCGTATCTCGGTCGGTAGCGAGTGGGCCCATTCCGTTAGTGCCGTATCCAGACGGACCGTGTCGCCGAGAAGGATTCGTGATGTCTGAGATTGCCCGGAGCGGCGGTAGATGTGAGCGCTTATACTGCTGATAATGCGTGATAATGACGCCCAAGGTTGGAAGTAGTCAATAGTCTGTCGATCACCCTGGGCTCCAGGGCTCGATGCCGATAGTGTCGCGGGTGCTGGAACTGGAACTGGGTCCGGCAACTTTTGGTCACAGTCCGAATCGTGGATCGCACTTGGACGGCCTGTCTCAAGCTCCATCAGCTTTTCGAGGGTGTAGCATACCCACCAGACTTGAGTATTCAGTTTCCGGTTCGCTTGGTAGCCTGGCGAAGCTGCCGAATCTCCAGCATCTGGCGGGTTGCGGGAGTGCCGTGTTGAAGCATGTCGGTGAAGGCCAATGGAATGGGCGATGCGGATGGCTTGCCCAAGAGTCTGCCATCCTTGGCCCTCTTTGCTACGACCACGCAGTGCGATGGATAAGAGTAGTAGAGCTTGTACCGAAGCCAAGTATGGCGTTGATATCACATGCGCTAAGAGGCTGTACGCGGCAGTGAGGTAGTGAGTTCCAATTTCGGCCAATGTTCCGGTCTCTTCATCTGCACCGATGCAAATAATGCAGTAAATGGAGACCAGGAGTGGAATTTGGGATGGCTCGATGGAATTTTGTAGAGATCCGGACGCATCGGCGTCTTGAAGTGTCGTAAGTCGTCCCAATTCCGAGCGGATAGTAGGCTCGTCAAAGACAGGGAAAAGAGGGTGAATCCTCTTCATGTAAACATCTAGGTACGCATCGAGGGTGGGAAGTGGAGGCAGAGGGGGGAGTTGAAACGATAAAGGCAGTTGAAACTCCTCAACGTGGTGCATGCCGAAGCGGAAGTAGGGCGATAATGGCCGAAGACCGCGTTTGCGGAAGAAAAGATCGGCAAACATCGTCAGAGACTGTACACTGCTACCGCCCATGAACTTTAGCCGATGTGGACTCTCATCAGTGTTGAGCGTCATGTCGGGGTTCAGATCCGCATGCTCATGAGGACTGTGATTTTCTCGCGCATTGGCACGGTATGCCTCCGCGACCCATGACAGCTTTCGTAATGCCGCATCTTCGGCTTCGGAGCCGTCATCGTACGCCGGCGATAGGTACTGCCGTGGACGGGGAGAGACGGCGCGAAGAGGATCTCGAGGTGTCTCGGAAACCTCCTGCACACTGCCGCCGCCCTGGCTTTGTGTGCTGGCGCTCTTGGCTGCCCACTTCCGCACGGCGTGCTGGTTCGGATTTCTGGGGTTTGTGGTTTGGCAGTCATCGCCGCGGAGGATGCAGTTGTGGCATTTTGGAGTCTGCGCGTCGCACCGGACCTTTCTTTTGCGACATTGGTTGCAGGCCAGAGACAGTCGAATGCGCTTCGGTTGGGAACTTTGCGGCTGTTCGCCCGAGCTGGATACGGAGTCGGGCATGGCTGCTGACGGAAGGTGAATGAGCAGAGGTTCTTCGGTTGGGAGATCCGGACGGAGAGCCAGTCTTCTCCTCGGTCGAGGCCCGGATGTCTTCAGCAGCAAGGTATATACTGGAGACCCCTCACAAAGGGTCCTGTGTCACTTGGAAAAACAGATGGGTTGCATTCGACAGGAAAAGGGATACGTGTGCCGGTTAGTTTATCTTGCATTTCCCCACGCGCGTCTGACCCGAGCGTGGGGCGCACTTGACGCTTCCCCATGCCGGTTCTGAACCTACTAGTGCCAATTCAGACCGCAGTCAAGGGAAACCCCGCGTTGGGAATCCGGGGGCGGGGGACTGCGGCATTGTGCCTCGGGAAGAAAGGCCACTCAATACACTGCCATTTGTAATGCCAGCTCAAGTTCGGTTTCATTGTTGCTGGAGCTGCGGATAACTCAGACTACGTTTCAGTTACTAAGATGTGGGTATGTAATACCCAGTTTAAGCTATTTCCTCACGCGGGCTACGATCCGACTGGGCGAGAAGCAGTACCAGGGAAACTACAAGTCATTCATACCTATGTATACACTGACGACCTCACGCCTGCTGTCTAATTGACGATTATCGAGAAAGAAACAAAGGGTCTCTGGTCAAGACATGCAATTCGAAGACGGTCATCAAAAGTGCGGGACAAAAGAAATCATTGACGCTTGACTTAGTACCTGTTTATCGGTTGGTGAGGTCAAGATCTAGATCGACGGAAATGATGAAAACTGTTGCAGAATCTCAAGTTGGCACAGTTGTTGGAAAAGCAAATCAATTGCATGCGAAATCATAAAATCTGAATCATAGGATGAAATGTTCTCTTATATGAGACTAAAGTCAGGACTATCAATACGCCTTCACCGCCGCCAATTGCAATAGCCTGTCCGTCACGATAGGCTTCTCCAGAGGTTCCTCGCGCTCTTGTGGGTCAAGCACCCCGTCCCTCTTCGCCTTTCCTTGGGGATGGATATTCGTGTGCGGCCAGTGCGTGGTACCTCCCCATGAACGGAAAATGTCCGCCTTCTCCTTCAATGCCTGTGGGTCGGCGAATTTGACGGGCGTAAAGCAAACGTACTGCGCGTGCCTGATCTGAGTTCCCGTAGGATGTTTGGCATAATGCATCGATCTTGACACGGTCAGCATGAAGGGTTCCTGAACATTGGTGTACAGATGAAAGCATACCGTGAATCCCAAAGCACCAGGTCGCCTGGTTCCAGGTTAGGCTTGATGAGGCGACACCCACGATCCTCGAACCACTTGACATCCTCTTCCTTGAAAATGAACAGATCACGGTAGTTCGCTTCGGGAGGCGGGGCGTCTTCATGGTTTGCCATCTCTCGTGTCTCCTTGAAGAATTGATCGTAGAGCTTGGCGGAGCCGTCCATCAGGATGAGCCCGCCATCGTCATCTCCGTTGGGTGCAAAGTTGAGAAGACCTTGGATGCACTGAAGGCCTTTCCTCTTGGGGTCCTGGTCTGAAATTCCTCTCTTAGGGATTGGAGTCATTGAGTGGTCTGCGGGGAGACTTACCACAGTGGGGCCATGGAGACCACTTCAAGTCCTTCTGGCGAGGAAGTGTAATGTTGAACATGTCAAAACTGACCAGCAACTCCTCCGTCTCCCAGATATGAATGAATGGGTTCATCACTCCAGGCTCCCTATCGAAAGTTCAGCTCACATTACACGAGTCGATAGACCGGTGCCACTCACATTCTTGCTTCCCACGCGAATCGCTCGTGTGGGGCACAGTAGGACCCGTACATGCCACCCTTGAACGAGACGGGGAGGTGCTCAGAGGTCCAAGTGTCTTCGTTTTCCGGGTCGAATCCACGATTGAAAGACTTGAGCCATTCGACCTGCTTTGATTTGTAATACTCAGCTCGCTCAGGAGTAATAGCGTTCTTGATGATGGCGTAGCCATGTTCGAAGAAGAAGTCGCGCCAATCGCCGTAGTTTGACTTCGGGGTTAAGAGGCTCTTCGACATTGTGGATGTTCAAGAGTGACTACTTTTAACTTTATTTGATCGGCAGTGCGTTTGGTGGGACAATTCAGAAAGGTGTAATCAGGTAGTCTGATCAAAGGAAGAAGATGCAATGAATCTGGATTATCCTCTTATTTTCCCTTGACTTTATGTCTCGTCTCCTTCAGGAAAACTACTAGAGATCTCAACAGAGATCTCCACGATGAACTCGTGAAGCTATTTTGAGACCGTAAGTCTGACTTCCCCGCACAATCTCGTCCCTGAATCGATCTCTCCTGTATGAGTGTGCATTCCCTCGGGCTTCATCCTAGGCCCGGTTCGGTCATCCGTTTGACCCTTGGCTGACGAGACAGCTATTGTGGCCGCGGACTCCTCGGTTCGGTTCGGTTCGGTTCGGACAGGCTCTCCAGGCTCCTCTTCTCCGCAATTTCGCAGCAACGGCGGGGCCGGCTGCCCCTCGATCTTGGCTAGATCTGGTGCGGCGCACTCCTCGCCCCACAGAATCGTGCATATCCGCCTGGGGAAGCCCGCTCCGGGCGGAATTAGACCGAGGCACTCAAGCTATGGAACTTGAGCTTCGCGACAACGCGATGTTCTCGTCAAGCCATTGAATCGTCAGACGCGTTCCATAAAAAGAACTTTGTTTGCATGTTCAGTGATATGGCGAACTCGTGATGCCCCTCTGCCTTACCGTATCTCAATTCTTCAGTCCCAATTTTCAAGTCGTCAGATTCAGCCATGCCTCTTCCCATCCAAATTGCGTATAAGCCTATCGGTAAGCCTGAAATCGGCACCAACAACTACCAAGGCTTCACCCCAGGTCGGACTGAAGTCCTGCCTAAAGGCTGGAACGGCTACGATGCAAAGCCCCTCGAGAGCGATATTCGAATCGATCACGATGTCGAGATCAAAGTTAGAGACGGGTGCAGACTTTACATCGACGTCTACCGCCCGGCAGACAGCACTGAGAAGATCCCCGCCATTGTCGGCTGGTCACCCTACGGCAAGAAGTACAGCGCTCTTACCATGCTCCCGATGACGCCATGGTCGTGCTGCGTGAAGAAGAGCGACCTCAGCGGCCTGGAGAAGTTCGAGGGTCTCGATCCGCAGCGGTGGTGCCCCAAGGGGTACGCGATCATAAGCGTCGATAGCAGAGGCGCTGGCAATAGCGACGGCCAAGTCCCAATTATGGGTTTGCAAGATGCAGAGGACGCTTATGATGTTATCGAGGCTATCGCAAAGTTCGACTGGTGCAACGGAAGCGTGGGTATGGCGGGCAATTCTGCGCTTGCTATTGCTCAATGGCATGTTGCCGCCCTCAACCCTCCATCCCTCAAAGCCATTGCACCATGGGAGGCGAGCGGCGATCTGTTCCGCGAGCAGTTCGTCCGAGGTGGCATTTTCTCCATGAGCAACTTCGATCTTATCACCAGTCTCATCATTAAAGGCAACTCAGGTGTAGAGGACTTTGCGGAAATGTATCGCAGAAGTCCCCTTTCAAATATCTGGTGGGAGGACAAGCGCGCAAACATGAAGGCAATTAAGATCCCGGCCTACATCTCCGGGTCAGACTTTAGTTCTATTCACACAATGGGTAGCATCAGAGGCTTTATGGAACTGGATACTTCCGACAAATGGATTCGATGGAGCGCGTGGCAGGAGTGGTTTGATCTTTACAGCGTGCCAGAGACGAACGAGGATTTGGCGGTAAGTCTCCCACTCCATCTGAAAGCTCTTTGTCAGGCATCATGCTAATTATCGCTTAAGAAATTCTTTGACAGGTATCTCAAGGGCATCGAAAACGACTGGGAGAAGACCCCCAAGGTGCGGTGGACATCATTGAAGTTTGGCGACCGAGAGCCAGAAAGCGACATCATTTTCGAAGACTTCCCTCCACCAAACACCGATTACAAGACCTTCTACCTCGATAACGAGAAACTGTCTGAGTCTGCTCCGTCGAACTCCTCGAAAGTGTCCTACAACTCCGAAGATGGCAATTCGCTTGTCAAGTTTACATACACGTTCGACAAACCCTCACGCCTCATTGGCATTCCAAAGGCAGTCTTGTACATGTCCTGTCCTTCACACGATGACATGAACGTGTTTGTCAACGTCAGGAAACTTGATAAGGACGGGAATCCGATGATGCATCTTTGCTTCCCATTCTGGGCTGCACCAGTCAAGTCCATCCACGACATCCCTAAGAAGGAGCAGAGTAGCACAAATTTGCATCTCGGCTCGGTCGGTCAGCTGAGAGCATCTCATCGAAACACTGATCCTGAGCGATCGATGCACCCTCAATTCCCTTTCCACCCCCACGACAGGGAGGACAAGATCCCACCTGGCACCATTGTGGAGTTGGAGATCGGCATCTGGGCCATGGGTGTAGACTACGAAGCAGGTGAATCTGTTCAGGTGCAGATTGGTGGCCAGTTCCCCTCCATTGCTGAGTACAAAGCATTTTCTACTGAGCGGCCGGATTATGAGAGGAACAAAGGCGAGCATTTCCTCCACTGTGGGCCAGAGCATCAGAGTCGCATTATCCTTCCTTTCATTCCATCCTAGTCTTCTTAGCACTAGGTAATTGCAGCAAAACAGCAGATGTCATAATCGAATGGAGACCCATGAAGTTCCTACTTAGTTCCTGTGAGAACCATCCTGAAACCCACATGGAACTTCGAGTGACCCGCGGCTAGCAAAAGGTTTTTAGTGCTCCTTACCTTCCGATAAAGTGAAAGCATTGAATGCCATCGAAGTACGACTTGTCCGAAAGAACCAATACCATGGAATAGCTCGAAGGTACAGCACCGTCAGCTTATGCGCCTTTCAATTGCTGAAAGCGATACTACGTCGGGTGTCAGCCAGGGGAATTCGGGCGGTCCCAGGTTCAATCAGATGCTGCACCCTCCTCTTCCTCCATACCCTCGAGTTGTTAAGACAGGCGAATAGGTAAGCAGAGAGAAGAAATTACTTGTAGTAAATGTTACTTATTCCTATTGAATTCTTTGCTGAGGTCTACTTTGAATTTCACTCAAACTACACATGACCACCTAACTGTCATTCAATCTGCCGCTAAATCAAGGCCAACACAATATGGAACTAATGCTGGAGACTTCGGGACTCGGTCATCAACCCAAGGGTCCCAGCGAAAGGAGACTATCCATGCTAATGGTTGTATGAAGGGGTTGTCGTGGTGTTTGCAATAGACCACTTCGAGACCATTTCTCTGATCTGGGTGCCCCAGATAAAGACAAAGATTCCAGCAGCACCAATACCAGCCGTAAGAGCTCCATAAATACCAAATGCGCCATCGTATCCCATTGAAGCTATGAAAGGTGTCACTCCATAGCTCGTTCCGAAAGAGATCACACCGCGCATAGCGCAGATGATGACCAGCACCGGGCCAGACCGAGTCGGGTACGCGTCGAGAGCATACGTGATGCCGACTTGATTTGCTCCGACAAAGCCGAAGTAGTAGGCATTAAGAGCAAACACGATGGCAAACCAGTGATATCTATCGGGGTGCTCGGCTGCCTGGCCGTAGATTACGGCCGCGAGTGTACCGACAATGACCGGAATGATGAGAGGGATAAGTCGGTATTCTGCTTTGTGAACGCCGCCGTTCCTTCGAGCGAAAAATTTGATTACCCAGTCTGATCCTCGACCCAGAAGCGGCAGGGCAAGGAATGCAACAACAATTTGACCGGTCAGGGCGAAACTGACGACTGATGATTTCCAGTTGTAGGGAGCATTCTGCAAAATCCCGCCATAGGTGGTACCAAGAGCGATGTTGACGCCGCTAGGAAGGAGATTAAGTTAGTGACAGTACACTGAAACTTTGTGGAATAGGGTATTGGCCGTTGCCAAGGCTGCGCCTTACATTGTCAGGCCATTGAGCAGAAGTGCCCACATCATGTCAGGAAAGAAAGTGACGATAGCCATGCCAGTGCAGCATTGCCACCCTTCTTTCCAATCGGCCTTTTGGGTGAAAAGACGGAGGTCAGACGCGAAGGTGCGAGGCTTGAAGTTGACGAAGTCAAGCTGACGGGGTTCCGTGGTAGTCTTGCGGGTAAGCATCTCTGTATACACTCCAGTGGTGTCGTCGACTCCAGGACCGGCAGTTGTGACAAAGTGCGAGACCTGGGCAGTCTGGCCTTGATATGCTGCGAGCGGTCGGTCGTACTTGGTCTCGGGTACCATGAAGACCGCAAAGATGAAAGTGATAGCGGCAAAACCTGACCCCAGGAAGTACCAACCAGACGATCCAATGCCAGCGGCTATGTAGGAGGTAAGAAGGGAGTAGACGGCACTGAGAGTTGATTGCCAAAGCGTGAACCACATGAGGCACCGGGCACGCTCGTGAAGGAAGTGGACCTCTTGTACCATGAGCGGGCAGAGAGCTTCACTCTGACCGGCGGCCAAGCCGAGGACCATACGAGCAACGAGGTGAGAGGTATAGCCTTTCTGAACACCGCAGAGGATGGAACCTATGACGGCCAAGGCACAAGACCCGAGGAAAACCGGACGGCGGCCTACAGCAAGTGCAAGAGGCATTCCGATGAGGTTTCCAAGACCCATGAACAAGGACGGATAAGTCATGAGGTGGGAAATATCATCATATCCTCTGCCTTCGGCTGCGTATTCAGGGATAAACTCTCCGAGAAGAGCTCCAAGACCGGAAACTTGGACGAGGCCAACCGCGGCAAAAGTCGCACAAGTCATCGTGATTATCTATTCAACAATTCAACATCAGTCTTCGCTTGTTCCGCGGGATGTGAGTTGGATTCTTGAAAGATGACTTACCCATTTTCGAAGTGGGCTCAAGTTGAGGGGATCTAAGTTGTTGAGCCGAATGATTAGCAAGAAGCATTTAGAGTTACGAAGAGACCTTGATAATCCGCAAGCTTACCGCGGGGATCCGAACTCGGAGTTGGGATAAGGTAGGTAACATCTCCGTCGGCAAGTTGGACGTTTGCCTTGAAGCTGCCATCGTCGAGTTGAGGCTTCTGGGGGAAGTCAGAGGCAGACTCCACCCTTTCTTCGGTGATCTTGTTGTCTAGCTCGCCCATGTTGAAGCGACCGTCTTGAGGAGTTAATAGCGGAAATTGAGCTTTAGTTTGGAATTGAAAGACTGCTGTCCTCTGTCCTGTGTCGAGGACGAAGAACTGTTGTTTGTGAGACTGTTGTTGTCGTCAAAGTTGAAACGGTGCCATGGGAGGCAAGTCGTATTTCTGCAAAATAGGCACACTGACAAACATCTGTGGTATCATTCGTCAACCTCGGATTCGTATCAACTCCCTTGCTTGTGTTGTTCTTCTGCCCTTGGCAGACTATCTGGCATCCCCAGATTCAACCCCAGATTCAGTGTGGGGGTTGACAGTCTGGGGTACAGTAGAGGGGCCCCGGCTTGGTCATTCACTAGCGTGCTTCGGCAGAGTATTCTCGCTCAGCTTCGTGCGGGGAAGCCTACGCGAACAGGGAAGTCCTCAGCCAGAACGAGGGATGTGACAGCCTAGGGCGCTCCGGAATTGGAGTCTTCGGCTTATCATCCGTGCCGTTGTGTCTATGCAGTTGTTACCTTCGGTTCGGAGTTCATGAATGCTTCTCAGCTATCGTTCCACTTCGAGATTGAACCGGTATACGTCTTCCGGCTTGATTTGACCCGTATCTTCAAATCAACACTTGTCTGGGACTCGAGTGCTGGCCAACCCGAATCTGGAACCCGGTTTTTGAACCGAGATCTCATTGTCCATGGTACTCGGAGTGCCAATTCTCGCACGCGTGCAGTCTGATAACATTATGTCTAGACAATACTAAGTATCTATCACAGTGCGTTGGCGGTAGACATTTTCCTCGGGGAAGGTAGTGTCTCTAACCAATTATGTCTATGTATCCGAAGTGTTGTGTTCTCTTGAGGTTGATAGTCCCGGAACAAATCTCTTTGCTCCGTTCTATCTCGGCGTTGCTCGAGTGGTCTAGAGAGTGACTACGTCGCGCCTATCGATACATGCATGAAGTGGTTCGGGTATGACCTTTCCGTTGTCATACGGGACACATTGCCGACACGCGGAGGTGTTGCAGTAAGTAATGGCGATGTCACCTTGAGGCGCAGTTGAGAAACTTTGAAGAACAACGATTGTGGCAATATGGATGTCAACGAAGGTAAGATACAGTATCCCACGCCCTTTCCCCGAGCATTGCACTTCCCATCAAGAAACAAGCACCTCGGGCATTCACAATCATACCCGGATGTAAGGAATACCTGTAAGCTTGAAAGCTCTCTCGCTCAACTTCTTGTCGTTCAGTGGTCTCTCCCTGGTAATGTGGTCTGGCTTTCCATTTCGGGTGGCGGTGTTGGACCCCGTGTGACGAGCGTTGGGCCAATGGGTGGTGCCCAGTCGAGCTGTAGAAGAACATGTTGTCAGCACCAACTCCTTCTTCGAGGTTCAACTTGGCTGAACAACTTACACTCATATGCGGCTTGCTTGCGCACCAGATGTTCTTGGGTGGCGTCTGTGACAGGCATGAAGCAAGTGTACACAGCCATACGATCAATCTTTCCCTTGACGGGGACGTTATAGTGCGCAGTGCGCGAGTCCCAGACGATCAGGTCACCAGGATCGGCGCAGACCTTGATCCACTCGCCACCGTGCTCCTTCAGCCACTCCATGCCGCGATCAGTGAAACCATACCACTCTTTGGTCCAAGCTGGGATACGCGGCTCGTCCTTGAGGTCTTTGTGGAACTGCGCGCTCAGGTTGTGGGAGCCCTTGCATACAATGAGACCGCCATCATCGGGGCCACAGGGGTGGAGGTTGACGAGGCCTTGGAGACAGCGGAATCCAGGCTTCTCGGGGTCCTGATCTTGGTGGGGCCAGGGTTTGTTTTCGGGAAGGTTGGTGCGATTCGCGAAGCCGTAGTTAATGACATCGAAAGAAACAAGGAGGTCCTCAGTGCCGTAGACCTTCTCGAAGGCACCGACTACGCCGGGTTCACTGCGGATATCCCAGACAAAGTCTTCATGGCAGGCTCCGTAGGCCATCAGCATGCCCTTTTCATTGATCACAGGCAGCTTGTCGGGATGAACGGTCGATGGATCGTTTCGATCATAGCCGAGGCCGCTAGGACCAGTCAGATTCCCGTAGCTAGACCAAGAAGATCAAGATAGAACTTACAATGATTCCAGAAGCCCGTACATCTTGTCCGCATAGCCGTCAGCGCGTTCTCTTGGGATAGCAGCCTTGATCACGGCATATCCGTCTCTGAGAAGGTCATCACGCCAATCGCCGTACGCCGGGTCCTGGCCATCCATCTTCATTCTGCCATCATCAACGGTCTTGATTGCAGCGCTGGGCTGCTCGATAATTGAGACAGTAGTAGTAGCCATAGTCGAAGATTTTCAAGTTTGGAAGGCGTGGGTGCAGTGCAGCGAAGCTAAAAGATGCTTTGGTCCAGATTTTGGTGCTATCGCGAATTGCAAGCTGTAGGTCTATTTGACCTTTACCTGTTCAAACGATGTTGCCACCATAATCACAGTCCAGCTAACATAAGCCGTATCTTGTATCCTTGCAAAGATTTCCGAGGTTCTGGGCCGGATGTGCTGATCACGTCCCGGATGGGCACTGCGATCGAGCCCCTCGGTTCGGTTCGCCGCTCGGTTCGGCTCCCTAGAGTTGGTCAACTGGGGCACATCCATCCCCCCAACCCCAGACAGATTTGCCTTCTTTCACAGTTCACCTAGCTTAAGGGTCTAGAAACAGCTATCGGAAAGTGGATGGGCTGGATTCGCGGCTATGCATTCGGCATAGGCAAGGCACCAACGTAGCTGGCGGTCTTGTCCGAGGAGGGTATTAGCTTCCGATCCAAGCTCATCTCACACATGCCAATGCCGCAGTACTTGATCCCCTGCGCCGATGCAAAGCCTTGAGGGTTGCATACCATTGACGTCCATCATCTTTCTTCCATTCGTGTCAGAGTCATTAGTAATCCTGTTCGAGATGTCTGCCTCAGAAGAAAGCAGCTTGTTCAACATCATCGTAGTTGGCGGTGGCATCGCAGGGTTGTCCTCAGTAAGCAATTATGGAAGCAGACGAAACTGGGCTCTGACTAACTGCCATAGGCGATTGCGTTGAGGGGGCCGAGTCGAAGGATAACTGTTCTGGAGCAGAGTCGCCTCAACCGAGAGATCGGCGCCACAATATCGTGAGATCATCCGCCCCGTGCATCTTCGAGGCATATGCTCTTCTAGAGAGGAAATCGACTAACAGAAATTTTCAGTCTCCAGCCGAATGCGTCAAAGTAAGTCATGAACTATAGATCAAGCGAGTTAATACCCTCCACGCAAGGTAGCTAACGTTGCAGAATTGTCGAGAAACAATGGGGCCTCGAAGAAGGCCTTGCCAAGACGGGGTCTATGGCCGACAAAGCTGTAAGGCCAAGACCGGAGACCCGATGAGTTTGTCAATTGACAGATGCCTTCCAGTTTCGGATTTACAACACAGAAGGAAAGCTACATGCAGAGATTCCCTTTCACTTGAAGAAGAGCTATGGCGCTGTACGTACACCATCAGTGCTTCTGACACGCCATGATGTGAATCACTGACAATGTTGCAGGAGAGAATGATCTATCATCGGTAAGCGCTGATGACATCAACTTCATTCACTACTGAGCTGACTTCAAAGTGTTGATCTACATGATGCTCTAAAATTTGCAGCAACACGAAACGAAGGAAACGTGAATCCTGTCGAGATCCGAACGGGCTGCGTAGTCCGGAAATGCGACCCAGAGGCCGGAACTGTCACACTCGAGTCCGGAGAAGTGCTTTCTGCGGACCTCATCATTGGAGCTGATGGGATGTGAGTTATGTTCGCCGCAAGATCGGAAGGTCGTATTTTCTAATCCCGTCGTAGTAAGAGCGTTCTTCGACAATCGATCATCGGAAAGGAAGCCCCCGCGATACCAACTGGACTCTCCGGTAAGCAGGCGACTGTATCTAGAAGACACCGTGTATTCAACATTGAAACTGACGGTGAATCGATGTAACTAGCATACCGACTAGTGATTGACAGCTCTGAGTTGGAGCAAGACAAAGATTTCACATCCGTGATAGATCCGAGGGAGTCGTTCACCACGATGATCATGGGTCATGATCGACGTATCATCATGGGTCCCGCAAGAAACGGATCAATCTACAGCATTGTAGCTCTGGTACCAGATGGTAAGCAGCTTATCTCTCAAGCCGAAGTAGAGTCGTGGCTCACTCAATATCACAGACCAAATGCAGGAAAATGCCGAAGGAAAGTCATGGACCACCAAAGGCAGTCCAGATAAGCTGAGGGAAACATTTGATGTTTTTCCAAAGTGGGCCAAGGCTGTTTTCAAGAATTGCACAGAAGTTGGATTGTGGCAGTTACGCGACCTAGTAAGGCTAAAGCCCAATCGTAATATTTGGGGGAAAAGATCTGACACTTGTTTAGGACCCATTGGATACTTGGTACCGCGAACGTGCAATCATTATCGGTGATGCCGCTCATCCGATGCTTCCGACTCAAGGACAGGGGGCCAGCCAGGCTATCGAGGATGCAGAGGCTCTAGGAGCCATCTTTTCAGATATCAAAGAAAGGCCGACTAGATCGCAGATTACAGAGAGACTGAAGGTGACAAACCTATCAACCATTGATCTTGAGACTCAGTGGCTAACATCCCAGCAGATAGTATTCAACTGTCGGTACGAGAGGACCACACTCATCCAAGGCTACAGCAGAGAGTCCGGAAAGCCTGCGACAGACAAAGGCAACAACAAGATCACGATGTCAGTTGTTGGAATTAAGCATGTGGTTCTGTCGCTAATGATTTTAGGAATCCGGCCGAGTTCATGGACTACAATTGTACCTACAATGGCGCCAAAGACTGGATTGAGCGACAGGCCAGGGCGAAGAAGTTGGCTGAAGTGGAAGAGTCGAAGGATACCACGCCAATCTCCATTGCGACGAAACAGATGGCTGCAATTGCTCTAGGCAGTGAATGAAGGATGTTGATTGGTGCTCCAAAGAAGAAGCATTGAAAGAGAGACAAGGATGGTCTGACTGTTGAGAATTGCCACTCCATCGTAATTGGGCATGTCGAGCATATGAAATCGCAGTCATAATATCGTTCCAAATCTGCCCAATTGCAGTATCACCCTGTAGAGAATTTTGCGAGATACTTACCTCTGAGTCATTCCCGATGTTGCAGTTGAGCTCGTTGCTGACCCTCAGCCACCATCGTGCGAATTGAGGATAAAGATTTGTTTACCTTTTCCCCTAGTCATGCCAGTCTAGCTCGCGGTGGCCGTAGTTTATTTTCGCCTCAGTGGCTCTGCATCTCGCAGTCAAGAATGTCTACCTTTTACGAGCACCTTGAACGTCGACATTTCCAACGTATCGGAGCCCGAATGTTCCGTTACGCGATGATGTGAAGTGAATCATACAGGGCCGGAGGGATGAGTCAGACGCGGCCCGAGGCTTAGTCTCAAGGCGAAGAAAAGTGGATTGGACCACGGCACTTCAGCAAAGCCTACAATCCCATTCGGGGTAGATCGTAAATGTCTATGGGGAAAGTTATCAGCACTACCGATGCGGCGATGAACTCATGGCATCTACGGCAGTGTTACACAGGGTAAGATGTCATAGCGTCAGATTTTTGGTGCATAGCACGGTTATTCCCGGGAAACCTAAAGTAAAGAATAGACCACGATGAAATGTTTTTCTTCCATTACTTAAGACAGAGAGTGAGTTGCCAATTTTTGGTTTGAGTTTCACTTCCATCTTCACCGACTCCTTCACGATGATCTCCCCTTCGCAAGCCTCGCAGGTTCTGCACTACGGCTGTGCCCTGAGCGCCGTGCTCATCGGCTTTTGGGCTTCAGTTCAGTCAAGCCAAGTCAAGAGGAAACACACATCAACGAAAGATTACAAACATCGCCGATCAAAACCCGAGAAAATTGCGCAACTCATCGTCATCATCACATACGTATCTGAACTAGTTGCTGCAGCTTTTCAGCCCGACGCTTTCAATAAGGAGCAAGCTCACATTATCCACGTCTTGCTGTCAACTTTCGCGTGGATAGCGCTTTGTTCTATTGGGAATGAGACACGACTTTTGCTCGGCGCCTGCACCGCAACATTTTTGCTCGAGATTCCTCTGCTGGTTCTCAATGTTCGTGGACGATCATTCTCTACCCCCGACGTTGTTTGTATTGTTTGCCAGGGAGTTCGAATCTTTGTCATTGTCGGTTTAGTTTTGGTTGCTATGGCCAGCACTACAACTCAGAGAGGTAGTAGCGGAGCCTGCTCCGAGGAAAGTCAACCTTTCCTTGGATCGCATGCACAAGAGGGGCCTGTCGACTATGGAACCGAGCGCTTCAGAGATGACACCGACACCGAGATTGCCAGCGATGACTCCGAAGACGAAGATACAGACGATGACGGTGACGACAGTGCCAGCATCAAGCGTCGACGAGCCAAGAGACTAGAAGAGACGGGCGGATGGCTGGGATATTTGAAAGACTTCAAAATCTTTGTCCCGCTTCTGATCCCCAGAAAGGACAGAAAAGTTCAACTTTCGATTATCCTCTGCCTTCTGTGCATAGCAGGTGGAAGAGCAATGATCATCCTGATCCCCCGTCAACTCGGCATCGTCACCGACAAAATCCTGGCGAAGGAAGCACCGTACGGTGCACTGGCCATATGGTTGCTTCTCAGTCTCATCAGCGGCGAGTCTGGTCTGGGTTTGGTTGAGGCACTCGCGAAAATTCCCATCAAGCAGTTTTCATACAGACAGATCACCAATGCCGCCTTCAGTCACGTCATGAACCTTCCCATGGAGTTTCACGCCGAGAGGGACTCTGCAGAAGTCATGAAGGCCATCGAGCAGGGCGAAGCTCTTAGCAATCTGCTCGAGACCGCCGTCATTGACATACTGCCGACAGTAGCGGACATGTTCATCGCACTCTGGTTCTTGTACTGGAAATTCAACGCCTACGTCTCTCTAGCTATGCTTGTGGCTTCTGTGGCTTTCACAACGTTGGAGGTCGTCACTTCAAACATGAACCTTGCGAATCGCAGGGCCTCAAGCAAAGCTGAAAGAGAGGAAGCGAGAATCATGCACCAGGCTGTTCAAGGATGGCAGACCGTCACGTATTTCAACATGTTCAATTTCGAGAAGCGCCGCTTCGGCCAGGCTGTGGACTCGCAACTCGCCGCCAGCCGTAGGTATGGGGTCGGCGATGCTTTCATTCAGGCTCTCCTGGAGGCGACCGTACCAGTTACATTTTTTGTGCTGGCATGCCTGGTATTGTATGAGATCACTAACGGCCGAGCTTCTCCCGGAGATTTCGTGTTGCTCTTAACATACTGGGAGTATCTGGTCTGGCCTCTCAAGTTCCTCTCACACAATTACCGGTACTTGATGTCAGACTTGGTGGATGCCGAACGTCTTCTCAATCTACTACAGACCAAGTCAACCATCGTCGAAAAGGAGAACGCCAAGAACCTTACGCCCGTCAAAGGCCACGTCGCATTTGAGAATGTCGGCTTTGCCTACGACCCTAGGAGACAGACTGTTAAAGAGCTGGATGTGTCAGCAGCACCAGGAAAGACCATCGCCTTGGTGGGAGAGACGGGCGCCGGAAAGTCATCAATCATGAAATTGCTGTTGCGGTTCCACGACGTTACAAGCGGTCGCATCACCATTGACGGCCAAGACATCCGCGACGTCACTCTCACATCGCTTCGCGAAGCCCTTGGAGTCGTTCCGCAGGACCCCTTGCTGTTTAACGCCTCCGTCATGGAAAACTTACGTTACGCGCGGCCGTCTGCGACAGACGAAGACGTCTTCGAAGCATGCCGGGCGGCTGCGATCCACGACCGCATCCTGAGTTTCGCCGATGGCTACGAAAGCAAGGTTGGCGAGCAGGGGGTCAAACTTTCTGGCGGTGAGATCCAGAGACTTGCCATTGCGCGGGTATTTTTAAAGGATCCGCCCATCCTGATTCTCGACGAGGCGACGAGTGCGGTTGATACAATGACTGAAGCGAATATTCAGCATGCTTTGGAGACTTTAAAGAGTGGCAGGACGACGTTTGTTATTGCCCATAGACTCTCAACGGTCGTCAACTCGGACAAGATTGTGGTCATTCATGAGGGTAGAGTGGTTGAAAGTGGTACGCATGAAGAGTTGTTGGCGCAAGGGAAAAGATACAAGGATTTGTGGACAAGGCAAGTTGGTGGTGCATCGGAGAAGAACAGGATATGACAAGGTTTGTGTTTAGAATACCTTCTTTCCTGATTTTGACAAGCGTTTAGTTTTGATTTTCATTCGTTCACTTGGGATTCTGGGCCATTGGTGGCGGTCTTGTCGTTGCCAAATTAGATATTGCTCGGGATTGTAGAAACTCGCAAAGTAGGGTACGTTTTCAGGTTAAGCTCGATAATTAGTGTTTTCACATTCGGCTGTCTAATTGACTTCAACGGCATTAGCAATCAGGGCTCGCAATGATGTACTGGCACCAGACTTTAGTGAATTGGAGCGCAAATCACCCACTAGCCCTTGCGAGGCGTGGATCGATCGGACGGTCCGCGGGGCTTGAGGTTAGATCGACAGGGACCACTAATGCCGTCATCAAGAGAGGTGACTTCTGTGTCGGACAACAACATTTGTATATTTGTCCGTGAGAACTCATAAATGAGATATGTTGGAGAATTGACATAGCGTGAAAGGATTCATCAAACCTACAACTATTTCCCAGTCAAATCACGCAGATGCGCGTAGGGGCCTGTCTCGCACGATCATACCTTCCCCTGAGACCCGCCTCAACCAAGACAAGTTTCAACGCCAGTCCCATAACGAGAGGAACTCTGTTGATTCCACCAACTATGCGCACTCGATCAACTACCAAGATAGCGAGTTTAGGTTCTAACTCGTCCAAAAGAAAGCACAATGCATCCGATGGCACATCTTCCGACGATTCGAAAGCCAACGTCAAGCGCAAAACGCCTCGGAAGTCTTCAATCATTACCAAGAAGGCCACCGATAACAAAGTAACCAAGTCTATCAATAAGGCGAACGAGACAGAGCTCGCTGACTTGAAAATCAAACCTGCTGGAGAGAAAATGCTCAGCTCACCGCCTTCGGCCAACAAACTCTCAGAGAGGAAATTCGCCGCCTGGTCTCAACATGCACAGTCATCTCCATACCCCGACTTCCTCCGGCCAACCCAGGAGGAATGTCAGGTCGCTTATGAGATTCTGGAAGGGCTTCACGGAGATGTAATTCGGCAAGTCTTTGCAGATCCTGATGCGCCGGCCCAGGAGTATCCATATGTGCTGGATGCCCTGGTGGTAGCTGCCCTCAGCCAAGCGACCAGTTGGAACAATGCCAAGCGTGCCATGAAGAACATGAAGGCAGTGTACAGGTCTCCATTCAACTACGAGGCAATTGTGGAGGGCGGTATGGAGAAGTTGGTGGATGCGCTGCGACCCGGCGGGATGCAGAACAAGAAAGCTAAGATCCTCATGCAGCTATTGGACGATGTCAAGACTCGTCATGGCAAGTGGGATCTTCAGCACCTCTTCAACGCAAGCGATGAAGAAGTTGTCAAGGAAGTGGTCAGCTACTGGGGTCTCGGACCAAAGTGCGCGTTCTGTTTGATGAGCATCTGTCTGAACCGGGATGCCTTTGCTGTGGACACCCACATTTACCGCATCACAGGTCTCTGGGGTTGGCGGCCACGTGATGCGTCAAGGGAGCTGGCGCAGGCTCATCTAGATGCTCGAATACCGAATGAGCTGAAATTTGGGTTACACTATCAGTTTATTGTACACGGCCAGAAGTGTCCTGTCTGTCGAGGCAACGGGGATAGCAAAGCCGTGTGTGAGTACCGAGTGCTACTGCGTCAACGTGGAGGAACCAAGGATGATAGGACAGAATCGTAGATAGTAGGCTATTGCATTTTCTTCTTGAAATAAAAACCATTAATTCCGGTCAACATCGGCGCATCTGCTATCACAATCCACTAAGTACTCGTAACTCGGGAGATCAACACGGAAGGATGAGATAAGAGGCGGCTCACACGGAATGTAACCACCCTTTGCCAAATCAGACGACTTCACTACCACCACTCTACCTGAATCTGGATGAAAATCCTTCCACTGTTACACCACATGCGTTTGATGACTCGGAAACCCAAGACGGACTTCGGGCCAGGTCAGCAATCCGCGTAACCCCAGCGGGAAAAAGCAACTCGGTCAGACATTCCCATTCAAAAGACAGACAAAGACTGGATGGAAAAGGGGCCGCCCCACATAATTGTCCTATAGCACTGTGAGGGCCGTGAATGGCGTCGACGCTTGGCCCGGCGCCAAAATTGCCCTTTGGCCGCGCTCCAACTGGCCCGAAACGGACATCTGTGGACCATTTATGGCCGCGTCCATGGGGTCCCACATCGGTCAATTTCGCCTCAAGCCCGATTATATGAGGCCGGGTCCGATCCGGAAGTTTTTCACACTGTGACGGCGTGCATATTCCGCAGTCTATGACGGAAAGCCGCCGAGAAATGTGAGGGCCCCTTGTGTTGGTGAACAATATGACGCACCGTGTCAATGCTGGGGCCTAATACGGGAAAGAGAAACAAACCAGAGATAGGCAAAGATGAGACAGATAGAGTCGATCCTAGTTGAGTAGAGACAGGTAGGGAGAGGGAAAAAATCGCTACTTAAAGATGGGCGAGAAGTCGCCTTCACATCTTGTCTCAGCACACTCTCAAAGCATCTTCTTTTCTCATCTCCATCAACAATCATCACTTACAACCCCACCGACAAGTCTTCATCATGAGCTCCTCGTCCTCAGCCCTCCGCCAAATTGGCATCTATCGAAATCTCCCGACTTTTGACGAGTCTATTGAAGGTCTCACTGCCATCATCACCGGTGCCAATGGTATCTCTGGTTTCAACACGATGCGGGCTCTCTTGGATAGCCCTAGGCGGTGGAAGACCATCTTCTGCCTCTCTCGCCGTCCTCCTCCAGAAGAGATGATGAATCTCTTGTCTGCCGACGCTCGTTCCAGGATCGAAATCGTCACTTGTGACTTTCTCGATGAGCCTGCTTCTATTGCCAAGAGCATGAAAGAGGCTGGCGTGCGAGCTGATCACATCTTCTACTATTCCTACATCCATAAGCTCTGGACTGATGTCGATGGGCTTGTGGAAAGTAACGTCGCCCTCCTCAAGAACTTCCTCGAGGCGTTGGAGTTGGCGGACATCAAGCCAACTCGTTTCATTCTCCAGACCGGCGGCAAGAGCCACGGCGTGCACATTGGTCGCGGACGCACTCCTCTTCTCGAGTCTGACCCCCAGCCGAGACACTTGCAGCCCAACTTCTACTACCCACAGGAGGACTTGCTCAGAGCCTTTTGCGAAAAGTATGGCACAGCATGGAATATCATCATGCCCTGCGCTATTATCGGAAGTTCGTCACAAGCGGGAATGAACATGTTCTACCTGTTCGGCATCTACGCTGCCGTGCAAGCACGTAAGGGTGAGCCCCTCATTTTCGGAGGAGACTGGGAGGCGTGGCAGTATGAGACCTATCACGGCTCTGCACGAATGACTGGCTACCTGACCGAGTGGGCAGCCCTGAACAAAGACTGCGCCAACGAAAACTTCAACGCCCAGGATGGAGGCCCGTTGGTGTGGGAGCGCTTCTTCCCTGAGCTGGCTCGCTGGTTCGGTGTTGAGAAGGTGGTGCCCCCGCCGGATGACGAGTCTGGCCTTGAGACGAAGATATCTGGAAAGTCGGGGAAGAAGGCGCCCCTCGGCTACGGTCCCCCTTTCTCTTCCAAGACGCGTTTCACTCTTGCCGACTGGGCAAAGGAGGAGGAGAACGCGGCTGCTTGGCGCGAGATCATGAAGGAGTCTGGAGGCAAGATAACGAATGACCCATTCGCGGACCCCGAGGCTTTCTCCATGTCTGAGTATGCGTACCTTCGGGCTGGAAGTCCTTGTATGAACAAGGCGAAACGGCTTGGGTGGACTGGATTCGTTGACACGACAGAGAGTCTCTTTGAGACGTTCAAGGAGTTGGGAGAACTCGGACTCTTGCCGCCAATGAACGTTGACTCCGCTCGTCCCATGTGCTAAGACTTGAAGGACAGTCAGAGAAGGATGACTCGGAGATAAGATTCAGAATAAGCAGATGAATTCACGTATGATGAAGAGATTTACAGTGATTATGAGGCCTTTGTGAGCGCTTCCAATTTACTTATGATTTGTCACTTAGGTTCTCATCAGAGACATTATTTGATTGGATTTACTACCCATTTTAGGAAAGACAGGACTATGTACACTTGGGGCTCCATCAGTATAGTCGACGCTATAGTACTGAATAAAGCACCCGCGGAGAACGCTCGTGTATGTGTTGAGAATATACCTTGGAAATGCCAACCAAAAAAATCGAGGAGAGCCAAAAAGATGATTGGCATAGGCTCCAAATGTCCCGAAGTAAAATGACTTGCAATGAGCTTGCCTCATGAAGGGAAGTCAGTAGCTATCCAGAGGCCTCTGGGCATGTTCTAGGTCAAAAGGAATCTTGGTCTCATTCGAGCAACCCTCCCCGAGAGCTTTTCCGGCAAATCGGTCCTGGAAGAACGCGAGCCACTCAGGTGTTGCTGCCGTCAAGACAGCAGAGTGGTCTAAGCCGGGATAGATACTCATATGAACAGGGTTTCCGTAGGCGCAGGTCTCTTCGAACGAGGCAGCGCCGGACTCCTCTGAGACAATGGTATCATCTTCTCCAAGAACCAAAAGCAGCGGCTTTGAGGCGCGGTCACCTTGAGCCGGAGCGTTCAACTCTTGAAACTCTTTCAGACGCGTGTCGGATGCGGCGGTGCGATTGGACAGGGCGTCGAGGCGGAGGTCAACTGTGAGACCTGAGATGGCGTTGTCGCATAACTGTCCGACCTTTGCTAGGTCGATCCTGTTCTTCAGCTTGGCTGAAATAGCGGGAGCGTCGTAATCTGGAAATGTTGCCTTGATGCCAAGTACGGCAGATGGAATTACGCCCAGGGCAAGGAAGTCGTGGTCGTCTCCTCCGGTCTGAGTGACATTGCGGAGCGAGTCAATGGCAACCAGCGCGTCGTAGATCTTGGTGACAGGTGCCACAGCAACACCTCCCAGGTATCCACTGGCCGAATCTTGGACGAGTTTGTGCTCTGACAGCTTCCACACCGCACCGCCGCCCTGAGAGTGGCCGATAGAAGCCCAGTCGTGCGAGAGAATATCTGGGAAAGCAGTTCGAGCTGCGACAACGGACCAATATGTGTCATTGGCATTGGCTGCGCTAGCGACATACTTGTGGGCGGTATAATTGTTTCCCAAGCCGGCATAATCGGTAGCAACGACAGCGTATCCTGCAATTAGGAGCGGTGACCAGCTTTGGTAGTCGAACAGGCTGGGTGACGTCGAAGGAGCGCAGCCGCGGAAGACTCCGCTGGTTCCGTGTGCGTAGGCGATGAGATTGAAGGGCTGCTGTGTCCTAGCGAATGGGAAGGCGACGAAGCCGGTGACGGGCATAGGGGAGCCATCGATGTCGGCGCTGGTGTATTGGATCTTGTAGACGGCAACACCGGCGGGCACGGTGATGTTGGTGGGGATTACGGGCTGAATCTTGAGGATATCGCCGGGCTTGGAGCCTGTGAAGTTGGCAGCGGTTTCGTAGAAGTCGAAGTCGAAGTTGGTTCCGAAGATCCCTATATCGCCCTCATTGCCAGTTTGGATTGCTTCTTGGCAAGTTTCGCTGCAATTATATCTCTGAGCCACTTCAGGCGTGATATTGAAACTGCTCGCTTGGCCAATATCGGCTGCAAGCGCTTGCAAAACCACTTGCCCGAAGATCAACGTAAACGGAATCAGCAGCATCATTGAGGCAGCAATGGGATAGAAGGGGTGGGAGAAGTAAAGTCGTTGCAGTCTGGTGGTTGTGGTCCCAATTAACATTTCAAACGACTTCCGTTTCATTGAGTTTATACTCAACTTTGCAAACCAAGCGGCACCCGCGCACTCCCAGAGTGGATACTACTGTTGTAGCTGTAAGCCTATGAGTGGTAAATGAGTGGTAAACGAGAGCAGCCATCGCAAACTACTGATGTCGTGATTAGGTCTTTCCAATTTCCAAATGCCGCCGGGGTGCATGAGCATGGTAGGATACCATCTCTCACTGCCACGCTTCTTGCAGGGACTTGATGTTGAAAACAGTCTTCGGAAATCTATGGCCTAGGTGTCGTCATTAATGGCGGTATACGCGTATTCTATGTTCTCGTTGAACCCAGTAGTCATGTGCTTGCCTGGGTAGCCAACGAATCAGCTCCGACTTGAAGATTTAAACGCTGAGATTAAGCCCGTGTAAGCTATGACCGCCGCGAGGTTATTACCAAAAGGGGAAACGTCGGCCGGTCACAAGACGTATGGGACTTGCGTAACGTCTAGACTATCACGCCTTGCTAATGGTAGGTAAGCTAAGGTAGTCTGAAGAAGTATTCGGCTTTTGGATCCCTGGACCCACCCTCGGTGGCCGCGGGTCTCAAGGAAAGAATTGGCATTTCAGCAGAGTCGTCGTTTCTTTAACAAAGCTACACTTCTCGGCACTCGTATAGTTAAAATACTCCCTTGGCTTTCGACGTAGAATGAACTGAATTGATTATTTAAATCCATAACCAAACGAGATATGAGAAAAACTGATTGATCGAGTACATCTCAACATAAAACAAGACTCCACTAATCTGTAGAGGGCAGAAATTCCATGTCTGCTACCACAGGTCGATGGTCCGAGTAATAAACACCATCGTCAAAGCTGTTTGATACAACAGCAAAGTTTGGAAACCGGATGTGCTCGGGGTTCAGCACAAAGAGATAGTCAATCGTCGTCGGTTTTGCCTCCCCAAAGGTCGTGTAGGTGATTTTATTCCCGTAGTGTTGATAAGCCGGGACCAAGTCTGATATATCTCTCATGCCTCCAGGCTGGGCTGTCAAAATCTGATGCGGCTCGTCTTTTGGCCCGCTGTTGAAGTCCCCGCCCAGAAAAACCGGCACATCCTTTCCACAACCTGCTGACGCATCCTTGCGCCACTCTTCAGCAATCTTGAGAAGCAATTTAGCACTCTCGCGCCTGGCTTCTTGGCTTTCGTGATCGAGATGCGTGCTCATCACAATGATTCTAGCGTCGAAGGTCTTGTGCTTGAACAAGCCAACCGTGACAATGCGATTGATGGTTGCGCCCCATGCGTTCGAAGGCTTCTCTGGTGTGGGACTGAGCCAGTACGTCTCACTCCGCTCTACAGTCCAGTGATCAATCCGGTAGAACACCGGCGAGAATTCCCCATCGGACACCCCATCAGCACGACCACGACCGATGCTGGCCCATCGTGGGCCCAGTTCGGCTTCTAGATCGTGAAGTTGTTGGTTCTGCGCTTCTTGTATACAGAGAAAGGCATTTGGAAGGCCGGCAGTGTGGAATCTCAGCTGAGATGTCACCTTCGGGCGCCGGACTTCCCATGGCTGCTCGTTTGGTAAGAGCGTCTTTTTAATGGCGTATCGGATGTTAAGCGTGATCAAGCGCACCGGCATCGGCTCCGTAACACAGTTCTCGGGCTTCATCATGCTGTTTGTAAGTCCTCAACTCTCAAGATTGTGCTGATTGGTGTTCGATGGAAGGAGTGAGGTGATGAAGGGTGATTAAAAAAGATGTTGCTATTGAGATATGAGCATGATGTGAAAAAGACAATGAGCTAAGGATGGCGCATGTTTGTTCTTAAAAGCACCGCAAACATAGCCGTGGACACGCTTCTTGGACCGAGTAGTATATAATGCCAGTTCATCGAAAACACGGCTGTGGAGGCCCGGCTAGCCGGTGACTTGGGTAGACAGAATCGACCTAAGTACATGTACCATGTGGTGCCTATCCACCGACCACGGTTGAAGTCCGGCTTAACTAGTCATGCGCCTACAGAGAAACTTGAAGTTCGGACTATGCCAAGACAAGGCATACTTCCAATCTGTTCACCACTGATGCAAGATACGTGTAAGTACGTCGGAGCTTAGCAGTACGGAATTTAAGGAGCCCCTTCTAAAACCATCTCCCGCAATCATGTCTTTACTGCCTTGCAAACCGGAGTTTTCTGAAGTGCAGACACGCATGCGAGATTCAACCTTCCTGGGGCTTGGTGACATGAAGATGCTTGGAGTGTCGTCAAGACTCCAGCCATACATCAAGTTCCTATCGGGATTGGTGCCGAACGGTGCCAGAGGATTGAATGCAAGTCACAGCAAACTGCATAGAGACTCGTTGTGAGTCTACCAAGGCTTATCCTGATTCTTGTGTTGGTGCTCAAAAGACGAAGGCTTTGAGAAAGGTGGCAAGACAACCGAGTCGACATGAGTAGTGACGCTTTTCAGCAACCATTGGGATGATGTTTACGGATCTTTCAAGTCCGAATGACCTAGCATGCAGTTTTTTTCCAATTGAAAGAAGGTTATCGAATTAGAGAATGAAGAAGCAACACAAATTCCCTGGGTATCTACCGCGCAATTTCTTCCTCGATCTCCACGCTCAAAAGTAACAAAACCGGCAAGTTTCCGGACTCGGCCACGCAAGTTCATATCTCCAGATAGCACAAACTCTGTCCTGTTATCAAGAAGGCTCAAATTTTTCCCAAAACTCTCTTCACCAATGACTTCTTCCTCGGCCTAGGAGGAGGCTGGTTGATCGACCTTGTCTGCCGAAGGACGCCGAGCAAGGTGGCGATCGCCAACGCCTCCGCCTCACCGTTGAGATCCTCTGAAAGTAGCAAAATGCCCTCGCTGTAGTCGTTGGGCAGAGCGAAGCCGATACCGACGTGGTGGTAGATGGCATGAATAGCTGGCTCCCCGCCGCTTGACTCTGCCTCAGTGTCGACCAGAGTATAGCGCAGAGGCCCATCTTCTGTTGGGCGCGCTTGCCACTCCAGATTCGAGGGAACGGTGATGCTTCCGTCTCGCGATGTCTGAGAGATTGTGAACCATGGGTGTCGCACGGGGTTTGCGGCTGCGTGCATCTTTGTGTCTGGAACAGGGAACGAGCTGGTAACTGCCAGCTGTAGGTCTTGCTCCATGCTGTGCGGTGCAACGCGAAAGTTGCCGTTGTCATCGGCAGGTATGTGCCTTGCGAAATTGTCAATAACCGAATGTTCTTCCTTGATGGGTAGGATAACGATTCTGAGAAACTTACAAGCTGACGATCTCGCCGTTATGGCTTGGCATTCTCCTCTCCACCGTTGCAGCAACACCCTCAAGGCCCTTCTGGAAGTTAACCAGATAACGAACTTGCGCATCGGTTCCATCTCCCAACGGTCGCCTCATCATTGCCAGGCCAAGCTTGTACTTGCTGCTGCCGATAGGCTCTTCCTTGACAGCCTTGTCGTAATTCTCATTGTAGTCGTAGAGAGGCAAATGAGTAGTGATGTCTTTGTGATTTGGGACGTAGACGACACGCGTGAGATGGGCTGGCGTGGGTGCAAGGTGACGGCCCAGCCTCTGATCGAGGGCACAGTCAAAAACCTCCGCCAGCTGAACGTGATGATAGTTCCCATATGCTGGAAGGACTGCCATGTTGGTGATGATAGAGGCAGATAAAAGTGAAGTTGATGCCATGGGGACGTCGTCTTATCGAGACGTGTTGGTGGCTAGGGAGAGGACAAAGCTTAGTTGGACGACTGGAGGATCGGGGTGGCCCAATAAGGGATGGTGCCGTTGGGATCAATGATGCGACGATAACAGCTCGGGGTCAAGCATCACTTGAGATAGTTCATGTCAACAATAGAGGCAGCGGATAATCAAATTAAGTATTATCAGCTTCGGCGTACGGTCGGGATGCGCTATGCCTTCGAGGGAAGCACACTGGCAGTCGATAGAAGGTATCATCAACACAGCGACGACCCAACGGAAAGAAGTGAAGGGAGATGGATTCCCACCGGGAGCAGATTCCTGTCCCAGTTCCACGCTGAGGGGGAAGATTGTCACGGCATGTGACGTCGAAATGCAGCTAACCCCGACAGCGTAGCATGATTGTCTCACTAGGTGAGAGCTAGAAATTGTTAGCCGAGCTCCCGAGATACTTAGTCCCAACGCCAATGAGGGACGTGATCGCCGTATTTGATGTGTCGGCATATCAGACCAGCCAGCCAGCGGTTAGTCATACGGCATGATTTGTCAAGGGAATCAATTTTCCGTCTAGAGTCACACAAACACCAAAAATCTTGAGGCTGGTCAGCATCGTGACTTTCCCGAGGATCAACCGGCTTCGGGGATCCGAACGGGGCAAGGCCGGTTGATCGGGCGCTGACCCGGCAAGCGGAAAACTCCGCTACCTCCGCATTAACTCCACTTGTTTGTTATTTTGAAGACGAAAATGTGATGCGGCTCTAGATCCTGCCATAGGAGCACTGAAAGATTCTTGCTGCCAGCTGATGACCTGATTACGCAATGAAAACCGGCGGCAAATGTATTCCGTCTTAACAGTTGATGTTATTTCAGCCATGGCATGATCTTTAGGGCCAAAGAACATGCGAAGCTTGTGGCCCAAGGGACCTGAGCAAAGTCATATCCCTAGCTTGCCGGTGGGTTCTATTACCTCTTTGGGGATCGGTCGCAACCATGTACCTTGTTCTGCGCAGGGATTATCCAGTGCTGCCACCGCCCAAGCACCCTCTTTCGATCTTGACTTGGAAAAACTCGCCTGCTTGGCTTTGCCTTACAGGGCACTACTTACTTCTGAATATCTCGGCGCAATGCCTGACTGGATACCTACTCACTGTATTTTGAGGCTGAGGACGTTGGATTAACCTCACTTCCGACGGAAATCAATTCCGCTCTTTGCTGACGAAGTGCCATTATGATTCTGTCTATATCGACGAAGAGCACCATGAGGCGACACGCACCTTTGCTGGCTGGGCTTCTTGTTCCCTCAATTCTTATATGGGAAAAACCAAGCCGATATTTCTGCTTTTTATGATGATCACAACAGTCCGAAACGGAAGTTAAACATCAGTTTCCATGCTTTCATTCTTGTCACGGCTGACGGGCGTGGAAAGCAAAGATGCGTCCCTCAAAATTCTGTAAGCAAGGTCGTTTTGCATCTCCCGCATACATTCAGGTCATTTGGCTGATTGGCTTTGCTGAATATCAGGATGGATCGAGATTACGTGTTCTTGAGAGGGACAGCAGATGAAGCAAACGAGCAAGCTCTTCGAGGAGTTCTTAGTCTTTGTCTACCTTCAACACAGCCTGTAGTCGGCGTCCGGCTACGTTTAGACGGTTTTTTGCGTCGCAGGTAGGTAGCGTATTCAGCCATAGTACACGACATGGGGCTGATGATTTTGTTTTTAGAGACCATGACATAGGATGTAAATCGAGCGAAGGCTCAACCACTGTCCGTGTTTTCGAGTACGAATGGCCCCCCTTCCTCACCGACCATGGCCACACAGACCTCCACTCGAGTTCTCCTGATACCACTACTCATGAGTGGCCATTCGAGCTTTCTATACCCGGTGATACACCAGAAACTTTTCAAGGGTGTAGTCGGTGCAGCATCACCTATCAACTGACGGCAACGACGATTCGAAGCACCACCTCTTCTGCAACGCCTCAGACATACAAAACGATACGAATCAATAGGACGCTTCCAAGTTCCGCATTCGAGTTGATGGACCCTGTGACGGTCGAAGGCACATGGGGAGAAAAGTTGCGGTATTCCATCTCAATCGGTCATCGCGCCATCGCCCTGGGCACGGCTATTCCTCTTGAAATGCGCTTCGCGCCGCTGGAAGAAGGAACAAGAATCTCGCAAGCAAAATGCCAACTTTTGGAGTCACACAAGGTAAAGGCTGGTAAAAGCCAGCAAACAACCTTTGTTGGCGATAGGGATGTTGCCGGGTGGAAGACTCCAATAAACAATCACGAGAATTTGGAGCAACGCTTTTACAAGACGATGCAGAGCCTTCCTCTTCCTGCAGAGCCGAAAGAATGTTCTCCAGATATGGAATCTTACGATATCAGCATGACCCACCTTCTTTCGATCGAGGTCACTGTTCAGGATTCAGACAATAGTCCTTTTGCAAACAAGGTAAGTGCCTGATGGCGCACGAGAATCCTGACTTTAGTAACAAAGCTCAGTACCGTGCATCGCTGCCTGTCGTACTCTTTGCATCACCTCAGATGCCAATTGATGCGAATAACAAGTTCGTTCGGTCAACGTGTCCGAATATCAACGAAGATGTGGCATCACTCAGCGGGCTGGACGTACCGCCTGTCTACGGCGCACATTTGCAGGACAAAGTCTTAAATGACTTGTCTGAATCCTTGCCTGTGTAGGGATTTTCGACGAGATATGAGATCTAGTCTTTAGCCGTAAACACTGCAAAGATCAATTTTATGACTATCGTTTTGGTCAGAAGATGGTTGAAGGCTGTTGCTAAAACTCCTTCGATCATTGAAACTCAGCCAATTACAATCCTTCTCCTGAAACTACAACAGAACTAGCAGAGTGCAGACCAAGTAGTTGTAAGTAATGCTTCAATACTGTAAGAGTCCCTAGGTACTTAGTACATGATCCGAGGCACATGTCTAGACAAGCACCCAGGCAGTGAAATTCCTGGCCGGCGGGGAGTACTTCCTGATTTGGGAAGGGGTTCCTGACTCCATGTCCAGGCCTCTAAGCCTTAGCGCTCCACAGTTTCCCGAGCTCAGCATTTGATCCACATAGAACACACAAGTACACATACTAGCTTGATTCTTGACGGTGAATTCGTGTCAAGAGGCACAGCGAGACACGTGCCAGAGTATCAATGAAGTTTTGTAGAGAGTAGCCGGAGTCACTGCCAAATCCTCTTGAAGAATCATGGTGACCATGGCCAAGCAGGGATTTAGGAAGATTACAGATCCTTCGAGTATCGTTTGATTTCTTGCTTACATGTATCTATGCATGTACCTACATTATCCAATGTCACATGAGGCTCAAGTACACTACTGGTAGTTCAGAAAGCGCCTGTGTGAGTATATGTACTGAGTTTGTGGCCCTTGTCATGAGTTAGTATGCCTGATAGCCGCATTGCTTCTCTGGGAACTCCGACCAGAGGGACCACTCATTTTCAGCCACACCTGCTAGGAAGAGGCTGACAACGAAAGACCAGCTCTCATGCTACTGGAAATCCTGCACTATTCCTGAGTTCAGGCTCCCTATTTCACAAAACACCATATGTCCATTTCAATTGAAGGGCTACGACTTATCACGTTGATGCACAGATCTCCCGGCCAAGCTAAAAGCTTTTCTTTTCACCATATGGCGCCGACTACCCACGTTCAATGCATCGAGTTACGGCAGCTTCCTCTCCTACCTACAGACAGAGAGCATAGCACGCCAAATGACGATATGTTTCCGCCCCATTCACACCCCGGGCATCCGGGTGTGTCCAGCCATTCGTCAGGACTCGCCCATCCTGAACGCACTGGATCGTCTTTCCCACCCGATGATGCAATCGTAGCCTTGCAGACATGGAAAAGTTCACGTTCGAACGTTATCCGAACCTTGGCTGTCTTTTGGAGTTTATTGGTAATGGGAGCAAATGATGCCTCATATGGTGTAAGTTGGTACAATGAACAATACAATGTTGTGATCATGGGTACTGATGTAGGCTTCATGTTTTACCAGGCAATCATTCCTCATGTAAGCTCTGCTCAAGACTTATTCTACCGATAATATCTGACATGACCGTGATGCGAAGCTGGGAAAATATTACGACTTACCGTACTCCTTCACGTCTCTGATCTTCCTTGCGCCTTTCATAGGCCACACGCTCTCAGCCATTTTGAACAACAGTCTGCATGAGAGTTTTGGGCAAAGAGGCATCGCAATTATCTGCTCTCTCTGTCACCTAGCATCGTACATTGCCATCTCACTACATCCACCGTATCCAGCATTAGTTTTTATCTACATGTTGGCTGGCTTGGGCAACGGCATCGGTGATGCGGCTTGGAACTCGTGGGTCGGGAGTCTGGCGGACTCTAGTCATGTCATCAGTCTGATGCATGCTTGTTATGGTGTCGGCGCTGTCCTCGGCCCAATGACGGCAACTGTAATGATCAGCAAAGCTCAGCTTCCATGGCATACGTTTTACTACTTCATGGTGAGAGTCAAGTTTCCACCACGAACGTCTTAGGAGGTTTTGCTAACAGAGTCATTCCGTGATAAGGCTGGTCTGGCTATGGTAGAGCTAGTTCTGACTCCCTCCGCCTTTTGGTCTGCTACTGGAAGTGCATACCGTGAAGAGAACCCCAAGGGTCCAGAACCGCGAGAGTCAATTGTCCACGAGACATTGTTCAAACTTCCTTCTGCCCGGGTTACTTGGCTATGTGCAGTATTCGCTCTTGGCTATGTCGGACTGGAGGTATCTCTTGGCGGTTGGATCGTCACATTCATGTTGCAGGTTCGCCACGGAGAAGAATTTGCCAGCGGTATGACAGCCACCGGTTTCTGGGCGGGACTGGCTCTGGGTCGAGTTGCCTTAGGTCTTGTGACTCCTCGAGTGGGCGAGAAGCTCGCAGTCATGGTACGTTCGATAACTCAACCCAAGTCATGTTCAAATCTCGCGTAACTATGTCACCCCGAATTAACTAACCACTTCGAAACCTTGATAGCTATACCTCGGCGCCGCCGTTTGTTTGCAGCTTTTGTTCTGGCTTATTCCCGAGTTCTTTGTTTCCGCAATCACCGTATCGCTCCAGGGGTTCTTCCTCGGGCCCCTGTTTCCCACCATGATGGTAGCCATCACAAAGCTACTACCGAGGCACTTACATGTCAGTGCTATCGGTTTCGCCATTGCTCTTGGAGGTAGTGGCGCTGCTATCCTGCCATTTGTAATTGGATCTCAGGCTCAGCGCCACGGTGTGCAAGTCTTATCGCCGATACTGCTCGGGGCGCTGGCATTCTTGTTGTTCACCTGGTCCTTCTTACCGAACTTTGGTCGCAAACACGAGTAAGGTGCAGGTTGTAGGAAGACACCCGGTTTTGAAAACCTTATTGGAGATTACTTAGCTAGGGTTATTGGAGATTACTTAGCTAGGGATCCGAGTCATTTCACAGAGGTCCTAAAGAGAGCCCCTGCTTCTCGGATCACGAACTTGAGAACTTTGGTATAGTTGATGTGATGTATCAACATGAATTGCTTCAACCAAAAGAGTCATCTTCCTCTTACATCAATTCACTTGCGTTTGGTATTCTGGTTCTAACCATTTCTCATTGAAGTCGACCTTTTCGTTCAATTGGAAGCATCGAGTCGCATGAGTGGTATTTTGACTTTTCATCTGCCGCATGCGAAATTGCCAACAACACATATATCATTTTATGACTCGAGCCCTTTGAGCCGAAATCTAAAGCCTTTCCGGAGACCGCATCACTCCCGAATTTCAATCTCGGACTCCCACTCAAGCCCGCCCAGTGCGCTGTTACCTGACTCAGCGGCAAAGCCATCTCCAGTAATGTGTAGAGGAGAGCGTCCAGCAAAAGCATCGCTAGAGTCCCACAGTAATCATAGAGAGTTCAGTCTAGTTCATAAACTAATTTCTGATTAATACTCATACTAGTCATTCTAAACTCACGAAATCGTCTCCGGAGATGCACTTAGCCGAAACTTCCGCCAACTACGGCTACTTTATTTGTGCTAGAAGCTGTATGGTGTACAGAGTTGGTATAATAATACCAGCTGGTTCTTTGAAGCAACGCTGAAGGCTACTATAAAACGCCAAGCAATATCACAACTCCCTAAGTAAGAACAAGCAATCTACACATCATACGTGACCGATCATCTATGCCAACAAAAAGAAAAGAAATCATTCAAGTCAACCATAGAACAGTCACGATGCAGTTCTCGGCCATTTCCATCATGGCTGTGGCCCTGCTTTCGGGCCAAGCCCTCGCAGGTTGCGGAGAAGGAACCTTTAACGGCAAATACAACGGGTACAAGCGAGTCTCGAATTGCAACCTCAACGCAAACAACGTCTATTTTTGCGGCGACTCTGGAACATCCGTCGTCCACAAGCAAAGTCAGCTTGTACTTCGCGCTGGAAAGGTTGATTCGACAGTCTTGGTCAACTGTAACGGGTACGGCTTCTTGTACCACTGTTCAGCCGGCGAAGAAGGCCGGTTCAGGGAACCGCAGTGCAAGGGCGCGGTTTGGGAGGTTGAGAACATCAGAGAGACTTGAAATTCAATTCGAAGATCGTTTGATCCAAGATGAAGCATGGGTTGAAGCGTGTTTGTAATAGGAGATAATCAATCCCGTATCTCAGCGTCAATTATATCGGGTTTGTCGTAGGCCAAGGCTTCGTAAAGAAAATGTTTTAGCGAGGCTGAATAGTTTCTCTTCATCAACATTATCTTCCTTTAATGCTCTGAAGACTGACGCTGCGTTGCGCCGAGGGTGTAAGGGGTCATTGAAATGCTTTTTTGATTCTCGATTAATGTTCTAGACCTAGGGGTTTCAAGATACTTGAGTCAGCCTAACATAGCTATGTAGAGCTGGAGTTTATTGCAACTATGGGCAGCTTAAAGCGGGGGAAACAGTTTTGATAGACCTGTTTCCAATCTGACGAGATGACTGTATTTGTTTATTCACTCAAAGCTGTAGGGGTCTGGATAACATGTATTATGTATACATCTAGATGCTAATTCTCCGGTGTATTACATATAAAGCAGCAAGTCCAGGGGTTTGTAGATTTTGATGTCTTTGTTATGAGGGTGACTGGCAACGAAGGTAGTCGCTGAAAAAATGTCTTATTCCATACAATGGGAAGAAAACGTTGCAAGTCTAAGCTTTCGATGAGACGACTTCCAATGGTGACTTATGCCCTGCTCTGTCTTGAGTGCAGCACGGCTCACAATTGCTTTCCAAGGTTGAACTCTCTTGAAGGTGGTAGTGTAGTAAGGTTCATTTAGTTATTGCATACATACCTTAGAGCACCGATTCACTTCCTAGTCAGGTACCCAACATAACCTTTCATACTGGAGGCTTTTAGTGGAACCGTGAACTAAATTCCATGCGCTCAATGGCCTTAAAGCTCAACTCACTCTTGAAGTGCATCTCAGTCGTGCATGGGTTGGCAACTTGGGCGCGGAAGCACCTGCGCCTCCAAGAGACGCAGGGTCAAGCCCATCCACAACATATTGAATTGAGGTCCACGAGATACTCTGCGTCTGATAGGACAACGGAGATGATGGGTTGACCTATCACGTAGCATAGAAGCAAGAGGCAAAGCCCTTTGGCAATAGAGGAAACGAACAGAGACACATCGTCGTACGCCCACGCACTTGAGGGATTCACCCCAAAACTTTAGATGCCATTTATGTTTCTTCGAACTATTGCAGAGGATGTATCACAAAGAGGACGAGAAAATGTGCTGCTAAGGATGGGAGTCCTGTATGTGGAATAGAGTCGATGATCTGCGGCAGATCAAGCGTGTTAGTGTGTTGTCGGGACGAGCTTCCGACGAGATAAGCCCTTCCGACTTTTTGGATCCGACATGTCGGGACGTACGCACCGACATCTGCTACATCCGGGGTCGCCCCTCATTGTCTAAGCACCCGACTTTGGTCACTTGGTCATTCTTATCTCATGGATCTAAACTCAAAGCATTCCGATAACGGGCTTTTGTTAGATTTCGATCTCATCGAGGCCCAATGATGTCTTGATTTTGCGTCGGTGGCGGGCTTGTCTTATCCACCTGCGAAGTGAGGATCCAGTGCAAAGACGGCTCCGCCGTGCGCCATGATGGAGAAGAGCCGCAAATACCACACGTAAACCATTAGTCTTCTCCGGGGCGTGCGCAAAGACACACCATCGGAACGCCGACGGCGGGGGGTGGCTAGCTCGGAGACATACGTCCCACGATGCCATGGCTCGGTCGTGATTCAGAGTTTATGCCGGCCGTAGCCGTTCGTGATCGATAAATAGAAGTACCCAGGCACCCTCCCACCATCTCTACGTGTGTCAAGTCTCGTCTCAGCCAAACATTGAAGTCTACCTATCGAACTATCACGATGACCGCAAGACTCGTTGCGTGCAGGCGGGCGCCGATGCCTTTCTGCAGATCCCTTCGACTGCAGGGAGCGGCGAGATATGTCAGCACCACGGCGGCCAAGACTCAGACATTGTCTCCAACAGCGCCGCGGACTTTCACGCCTACCCCGAAGAAATCACCCTTATCTAGACTTTCAACAAAGGCCCTGGTCCGGTCACTATTCCTCACACAATTTATGTCAACGCCACTTCTCATGAAGCCAGCACTACCTCTACTGCACTTTATCGCCAACACAAAATTCGCACTTTTCAACCCCGATAAGAACCCATTGCTGAACCGACTACTGAGATGGACTATCTACGATCATTTCTGTGCTGGAGAGAACATTCCTCAGGTTTCAAAGACAGTTTCCGAAGTGAAGCGGATGGGATACCAGGGTGTCATCCTCAACTACGCAAAGGAAATCGTTCTGGATAAGAAGGCAGCCGCAGCGGAAACGAAAGCTGGAGAGTACGCACCAGAGGTTTACCAGATGGTCGACCAATGGAAGAAGGGAAACCTCGAAACTCTCCACATGATGGCGCCGGGCGATTTCCTGGCTGTCAAGTAAGTTGCCCTGGGAATCTTCCATGTATTTTCTCACTAACAACATCAGGATTACTGGCGCTGGTCCCATCTCTGTAGATGCATTGAAGGCGAAAGCACCCATCCCGGAAGTTTTGAGCAAGGCTCTGGACGAACTCTGCGAGGAAACCAACAAGCAAGGTTCTCGTCTTTGGATCGATGCTGAGCAACAAGCACTTCAACCCCAATTGGACGAGTGGACTATCGACCTCATGAGAAAGCACAACCGTCAGAGCAAGCCTTTAATCTACAACACTATTCAGGGCTACCTCAAGGGCTCCAAGGCCAATTCCGAGCGTCACATTTCCTTGGCCGCAAAGGAGGGCTGGAGCCTGGGAGTCAAGCTTGTCCGCGGTGCCTACATCGAGAACGAAGTCCGGTCCCTGATTCACGACACCAAGCAAGATACCGATAACAACTTTGACGACATCGCGGACATGTTCATCAGCCAGAGACTCCCCGAAGACGCCAAAGAGTGCCAGTTTCCCCCTAGCGCGCTCTTCCTCGCAACCCACAACGCCGCCAGCTCTGCGACAGCGATCTCCACCCACCGCCGCAGAATCCTAGACGGCCAAGCCACGACTGAGCTTGAGTGCGGTCAGCTGTTTGGTATGGCGGATGAGTTGAGCTGTGAGTTGCTGGACAACTACGATACCTGTGTGGCAGACTCTGGGTTGAAGAGAGATGCTATTCCCAAGCCGTTCAAGTATCTCCCGTGGGGTTCGGTTTCAGAGTGCATGGGATACCTTCACAGAAGGGCGGTCGAGAACAAGGGAGCTGTCGCGGAGAGCGCACACATGCTCGGCTCATTGAAGAGCGAGCTGAGACGCCGGGTGTTTGGTTGAACCGACGTGACGTTGTACATTTCTTTCCAGCGATGCATAATGACTTGATTTAGAGATATCCCCAATAATAGACTCTCAAAAAAAAATGAGAAAACTACAAGAGATTTACATGCCCAATTCTGTGTCTCCGGCCGTTTGATGTCTTACGGAACCACGCACCCTTATTTCTTTCTCACCATTCTTCGATTACTCTGTTCTTAGCAGTGGAAATTGAACTGGGAGGTTCCATATCTCCCAATCGCCTTGCGTTGGCGGAGTATTTGCCCTCTCCCTATGAGAAGCTCATTAGTAATAATGATTGACTCGATGGAACCAAGGAATAACTTACCCATTTGGGGAACGGTGTGAACTCGTATCGTTGGCCTTGAAATTCCAGCGCCCCCTCAAACCTCCAAATTTGCACAAGTCCAAGGTGACTCTGGTACATTATATCTGGAGTGAAAGAAAACCACAAGACGTGAGACATCAGTCTTCTGACATCACCCATGTCTATGC